CTCTCCTCTCTCTCTCTCTCTCTCACATAATTCATAAGTACCCAGTTTGTTATCATATCCAAAATAAGATTTTACGATTTGGAGGATTTTCACTAAAAGCAGCAGATGAGAAAGCAAGATAAAATAAATGTATGTCAGTGTTTATTTTCGGATGTTTTGAATGTAGCCGATAACCAGATATTGAAAACATAATCTGTTTCAGTCTATCTTCCTACAATATCATCATCTATTTGTTGTTTTATTCACTGAGGATTATATTCTTCTGCTTCGTTTATAACGCTAACAGACGGTTATCGGGATTAGCCAATCAGATAAATTGTTTTATCAGTCCATCTCGTAAAACGATTTCATGGTTATAAGTTGAACAGGATATTAAAAGATCAAAATGAAGATAATTTTATTTTAAATTTTATTCCACGTAATCTTCAAGTAAATCTATAAATACTTGTATGAGATAGCTATCTGAATTTCTGGTTTCTATCAAATATTAAAAACGTAAAGGTTTGTCAAGTGTCTGTATTTTGTTTGACAGGTCAAAATATTATAAACATTGCAGGGGTGGTTCCAGGAATTTTTGAAGGAGGAGTTTGCTCGGTATAAACATTGCAGGAGTGGATCCAGGAAGTTTTGCAGGAGAGGTTTGCCAGGTCAAAATATTATAAACATTGCAGGGGCAGATCCAGGAATTTTTGCAGGAGTGGGGTTTGCCCGGTCAAAATATTATAAACATTGCAGGGGTGGATCCAGGAATTTTTGCAGGAGACGATGTATCCTTAGTGAGGGGTGCAGGGTTTCTCCCACCGACCTTGGAAATTTTTTGAGAAATACATGGTCTCTATCGTCATTTTGGCAATATATACATACACACTGAAATTTTTTAAAGAGAGAAATCCAACAGCCTGTTTGGCGTTAATTTTTATTATGAATTAATACGATCATATGGTGATTTCAATTTCATTGATGCAAAACATTAATTGTGATATCACATATGTCTATATCATTATCTCACACTTTGAATGCCCATCCTGTCCCATTAATAGACATGTTAAAAAAAAAATCTTGTATTTATCCAATAATTCTTCTCAATTAAATAAAATGGTGTTTAACGTCCTACTTTTCTGCACCAACTGGGCTAATGAATAGGAGCCATATTGTGGAATAATAGAATTTTAAATGCTTTAAAGGAGCTAAATCGCTAATATTTGGGACCTAGAAATTGACCCAAATAGGTCGCAACACTATATAATAATGTAATCTGATTGTATATAAACTGATTTACATTCAGTTGTTTCCGTTTTGACTCTAATTTCAAATCAGTTATCTCCAGCAAAATACAGCATGAGTCTCAACCGAATCGCTATTCCAGTCTTTTGCGCATGCTCTCATGCCATAACCGTTTGACATGCTTGACATGAGTTGTGGAATATGTCTAGCCTCGTTCTTTCTGGTCACTTGTTACAAATGACGCTGAAACGCATTATGGTACACGATTCGTGTACCAATGGTAAAATGTTTATTTTATCTTAAATATTGGATATCAGAAGCCTACCTTTTCCCAGTAAGATCACAACATTAATATTGATTTAAATTGACAAAAAATTTGTGTTTTCAATGTGCAAGACTTTGGATGATATTGAGTTAAAGACTTAGCTAATTTAAAGATACATTATGGGAGATATTTATAGAGAGTTGGCCAGTCTTGCTATAACAGTTCAAAAGTAGATGATGAAAGAAGAATATATTGAAAAATTCAGTCAAATTACTTTATTCTGAACATAGTTATCATCGTTGTAATATTTGCCTAGAAATGGTAGCGAAATGTGTCTTCACCTTCGCTGAACGTTTGATTGACAGGCGTTAACTACACCTACATATCTCGATTATCAAGTAAAGTTTTCAATGGCATACGGAAATGCTTTACAGCGGCCTCGCTAAGTACACTCTATCATTTAGCTTCGATCTAACTGACGTATTTTCATCAGGTTACCCCTTATCTGATTTAATCAATTAGTGAAATCCTATTTAAATCCGAGCTGTAACCGAGCCATCCGTGGGTCTACAGAGTTGATTTTGGTCTTGTTGTTTAAATAAAGATCTAATTTATAATTTCTATAACATCTGAAGCCTAAATTAAGACTTGCAATAATCAGATTTAGCTCTTGCATAATGCATGTTTAATCTAAATCAATAGACATCCAATGTGATTTTAAAAAAATAAAAATCTTGTATTTATTTGGTAATTCTTCCCAAATAAAATAAAATGATAGTAAACTCATTTTATTTGCCAGATTTCAATAAGAAGTAGGCCATAACATTTGAAAGACTTTCTTTTTAATGGGTTTTTAAAAAGTCAAATACGAAATACTGTTTCTTTGTGGCGTCTGTTTTCACTCAGACCTCAAAACAGACGGAAGAATGGGAATTACGTGAATGTGTAGAATAAATATCAACGGACATATTCACGTTTTTACTCACAATATTACAAAGTTGGTTAATATATTGAAACCATATGTCTAGATAAAAGTGGGTATTGTCCGCAGGCCGTTAATGACCTCATGATATGATGTTACAAAGACATAAAGTCTGGACGATAAACGGAGGTTACTACCTCTAGGGGGAGCCAGGGGATACGACCAACCTTTTAAGATAAAAGAGCTGTAAAGGCTAATGACGTTATTGATATTTGTGTCTGATAGTCCCTTAACGCCTATTTGATAATATCTAAAGTTACGACTCTACTGTGAGCAAAATGGTGAATACTAAAACCATGAATTTAGAATGAGAACTCTCAACATTTGTTTAGTTAAACATACATTATGCAAGAGCTAAATCTGCTTATTGCAAGTCTTTCTTTGGATCTAAAATGTTATCTAAATTATTAATTAGACATTAATTAACTTATCCAGACCATAATCAACCCTCTGTGTCATCGTTAGCCTGTGATATTTACTGGATTAGGATCCAATCGGCTGCCCAACACTCATTCATGATTAAATCAAGAAATGGATAATCAAGACTATGTTTTTTATCCTACCGACTTAGTAATGATAATCGAGGCTAGGCCTAAGCTTCAATCACTAAATTCTCAGTTCAGAGTGGATCAATTTGACTCCAATTTTCACAAATTCCCTTTACATTATCTAGTTTTTAACTATTATAGTGAGAACTACCAGCTCTTTATCTAATCTCCCATAATGTATCTTTAAATAAATCAACCAATATTTTATGATTGATGGATATCAATTTTAATATTTCTAATTCAAATCAAATTTAACGTAATCTTTAGGAGCTAAACCTTCTATTAACAGCTCTTTATAAACCTGTAACAGTAAATCTCTTTGATCTTTGGGGTATATTCTATGTCCGGATTAACTTGCGGTCTGAAAGTCGGATAAAAACAGGGGAATTTGGGGTTATTCGTCTGAGAGTTTTTGTAAGGGCTTATTCTTCCAGGGCTGTTTTTTTTCCCATAAGAAAACATGATATAAGGTTTTTTTTACTGGAATTCTGGGATATTCTCATATTACTTACATAAAAATATAGACGTTTTTTCTTTTTCTCAGGTTATTTTCGTCAGTCTTTCTTTCCCCAGCTTAAAACTCAGTCTCATCCTTTATCCTACACATATTTGGAAATTGAAAGAGTATGCTACAGCACCACAAACAATCGGGGCAAAATTTCCCCTATATAGTATACTGCATATATGTCCGTCTTTGTTGGTGTAGGACTTTGGTGTCTAGTCATTCGAATGGGACAAAAAACAAGGTTCTGTGTAAGTGTTGGCTTGCATATAAAAGAACCTCTCTGATAGCTGGGGGCGTGAATGGTTAACGCATGTGTATTGTATCATTAGGTCTGTCATTCAGTGGGGAGTCACGATGGCTGGGTGGTTAAGACGCTGGCTCGCTAGCCTGGAGGTCGGGTGTTCGATCCCTGCATTGGCCGAGAAAGTTCATCGAGATCTTCCGGCGTGGTTCCCCCTTGTCAGTGCCGAGTAGGCGATAGTGCCGCTGCCCGGGCAAAATTTCCCACATAGCACACTGTATGGCGTATGCCCGTCTTCATTAGCCCAGTTTAGGAGCAAAACAGTAGGACGTTAAACCCCATTTCATTTCATTTCTAGTTTACATGCTCCGAACTGGGCTAATGAAGACGGGCATACGCCATACAGTGTGCTATGGGGGAAATTTTGCCCGGACAGCGGCACTACGGCCTACTCTTATATCGAATTCCAACTGTCAAGGGATCTTTTACGTGCACGCCAATGTGTACACGGGACCTCGGTTTTTCGTCTCATCCGAATGACTAGACAGCTGTCTTTGTCAGGCCCTCCGTCCTGCATCCCTGACAAGGGGGAACCACATGTAAACTAGAGCCTAATGGATGAAAAAAACATTTTCGTTTTTGGCAAGACTTGACAATAACTGTCTTCATTAGCGCTGTTAGTGAGAGAGAGAGAGATAGAGAAATGGGGTTTAACACCCACTCGACACAAACTAGGTCATTTCAGGACTAACATATGGTTTAATTTTATTTCAATAATTCTTGCGCGTAGGGGTCTTTAGCAGTGGGAGGAAACCGGAGGACCCGGAGAAAACCCACGAGGTTGGACAGGCGACCCTACTCCTTGTCACGTACAGCCAGAGATTCGAAACCACGCCAGTCGACTCAATGACAGACTTTATGATACAGCGCGCTCACGCTAACCATTCGCCCATCCAACGCCCCAGCGCTGTTAGTAGAACGTTAAACCAATTTCCTATCATTTCATTTGTTATCTGTAAAATAGACTCATGTAAATGAGAGTTTTGGCAAAACTTGACAATAAACGCTGAATTTCACATGAAAACAAGATCACAGGTACATATCATGATAATATACCTACTCGAACAACATTTCTTACATAACACGAACAGGTAAACTCGTTAGCTAATCTACAGGTACTATTCCTAGCTTCATCTATCACAAGTTTTTCTGCGGAGAATTTGACAAAAGCTTACCTGGTGATGACAAACGAGGCAATCCATATTACAAACACACATGGAAATTTCTACCTTCTCAGATAATCACCTTTCATAGATCCCAAATACCTGGTAATGTTTTCGCAGGTCGTCAACACAACGACAGACGTTAACCTATTATCATTTGATAGAAGATAACTGCGAAGATATTAGTCCTTTTCCAAGGTTGAATATTTGTTTTGAATTTCAGCTATGAAATCTTACAACCATTAGATTGTATCTTTCGTTCTTGTTTTTGTGAATTTTTTTGTTATCAGTGTTAATGTTCCTTGAATCTCCCTTGTAAACAAGAAGTGATATCAGATGTTTTTCATAATAACAATAATAATAATGAATTTGTATATCGCCGAGTTCTCCAGCTAACAATCTGCTCCAGGGCACTCTAAACTACTCCATGTAGTACATTAAAGTATGAAAAATAACCACAACCGTTTTAATAGCCTACTCTCAGGTAGAAATGTCAATTAACACAAATATCATGAATACACCTAAGAACAGTTTAACGAAAACAAGAAGTGATACCAGTTGTTCTAGAAAGAATAAAAACTCGACACTGTACACTGTACACTGAAGTATGTAATATTACCACCACAGGATCCAAGCTCTATTAGCCTAAGTTAGAAAAATCCAGAAACACAAATGTCATGAAAACACCCATGAACAATCAACGAACAAGTTGGCTACTCCTACCAACAAAAAGTTTATAAAATTAAAATTTTCGCACTAAAAGTAACCAATCTTTGAAAAAATGACATTTAGGTAGAAAATTTATATCCTGTGTAAGTTGTTACGTTGGGACAGTTTCTCTGAGGATAGACCGCTCACGAACAACAGATGTTGTCAGACTTGTCATGTGACAACATTCCAAACAGGTACATCTCTGTATTACCCAGAATGCATTCTGATCTTGACGTATAATATATAATGTTGTTAGATATTCGTGGTTAATCTCTATTAATACCCGGAATCCATTCTGATGTTGACGTGTAATATATATTAATGTTGTTAAATATTCGTGACAGGTGACAGAACATTACCTGTACCTGTCACAACACCTGAATCACCTGTCAGGTGCAAATAAATTTGACGCCTGCATTTGATAAATGGCACCATCTTTGAAAATATATGGCTGACACTTTAAGCCTCGGATGAAAGCCTAAATTGTATTTTTTTTATGGAAGACATGGTTTGTTGTTGTTTTATTATATAAGGTGGGTGGGGTGGGAATCAGTTATATTTTCGTGCCTTCAGGGGACAGGTGGTTATCTTGATGAATTGTAGATTCAGGTATATATCAACATTAATAGGTTATTGTTTCTAGAAGTTGTGACAAATAAGGCATAAAATCCTCAGAATAGAATGAAAAAAAAAATGAAATAACAAAACTAACACAGTTGTATGGGACAACAATCACTGGTTTATTGTACTGGTGATTGTTGTCCCATATAACTGTGTTAGTTCTGTAATGGGGCTATACTATATACTGGAAAACACCGGAAAACTACCGGAAAACACCATGTTAGACTGAATACCGGAAAATACCGGAAAAACACTAAATACTGGAAAACACACTAAATACCGGAAAACACCCTAAATAGGTAACTCGGAGCCTAGTCCTCTGGAAAACACCGGAAAAACCTAACCCTAACCCTAACCCAACGCTGGTCCTCTGGAAAACACCGGAAACACCTAACCCTAACCCTATCTCCCCGCAAACAGAGGACCAGACTCTAGGTTACCTATTTAGGGTGTTTTCCGCTATTTAGTGTGTCTTCCGGTATTTAGTGTTTTTCCAGTGTTTTCCGGTATTCAGTATAACATGGTGTTTTCTGGTAGTTTTCCGGTGTTTTCCGGTATATAGTATTGTCGTTGTAATGTCTCCAATCACTAAGTCCCACTAAAGAATTATGTTCAAAATGAAATAAGTTTTAATGTTCTATTTTTCTGAGGGGGTGGATGGCCGAATAGTGTTCACGTTGTATCATAAGGTCTGTCATTGAGTCAACTGGTGTGGTTTCGATTCCCCGATTGTATGTGACAAGGAATAGGGTTGCCTTTACAACCTTGTGGGTTATTATTAGAATTATTCAATACTTCCTAGAATTATCTAATACTTCCTATTTGGGGGAAATGAAATTGGATTTTTAACATCCTACTTTTCTACACAAATCCATCTATTGAACATGGGTATAGATGCCATGCAGTCTATATGAGAATTTTGTTCCATCCATTTTGTGTTTTCTACATGAACATATTGAAGTATATTTAAAGATAAGAATCTTGCAGACATCTTGATATTATTGACGAGCAAACTTTCCAATCACCCGCATTGAAAAATCTCAAATGGCTTTAAGAATGAATGGATCCTGATTCTTAAGTATCTTGACTGAAAGGTCCATGTAGAGGTCAATCAAGGTGTTTTTGAAGGTCATTAATAAAACAAATCAATGACCTTTAGTATGACTGGACCTAAGAATGTTTAAAGTAGCTAAGTCTCTAACTCAATATCATCCAAAGTCTTACACGTTGAAAACACGATTATTTGTCAATTCAAATCAACATTGATGTACCATAGTGCATTTCATCGTCATTTGTAACAAGTGACCAGAAAGAGCGAGGCTAGACATATTCCACAACTCATGTCATACGGCGACGCCATAACTTATCTGGAGAGCATGCGCAATTGACTGGAATAACCAGACGCTAGAAATTTCTATTCGGTAGAGACTCATGCCGTATGAAATTAGAGTCAAAACGGAAACAATTGAATGTAAATCAGTTTATGTACAATCAGATTACATTATTATATGCGTTGCGACCTATTTGCGCCAATTTCTAGGTCCTAAATATTAGCGATTTAGCTCCTTTAATATGCTATATGAAATATCCAGGGGTTGGGTGAACGAATGAGTTAACACGTGCGCTGCAGATCACAAGGTCTGTCATTGACTCATGTGATGTGGTTTTGAATCGTGGCTTGTGTAACTAGCTTAATAGGTTCTTATTGATGTTGACAGTTCATAATACCGGTTTGTTCTTATTCATTAGGGGAGTTGGATGGCCGAATGGTTAGCACATGCATGCTGTATCATAAAGCCTGTCATTGAGTCCACTGGCGTGGTTTCGAATCCCCGGTTGTACGTGGCAAGGAGTAGGGTCGCCTGTCCAACCTCGTGGGTTTTCTCCGGGTCCTCCGGTTTCCTCCCACTGCTAAAGACCCCTACGCGCAAGCGAATTCTTGAAATAAAATTAAACCATATGTTAGTCCCGAAATGACCTAGTTTGAGTCGAGTGGACGTTAAACCCCATTTCTCTCTCTCTCTCTCATGTTGACAGTTCATACTACTGGTTTGTTCTTATTCATTAGGGGAGTTGGATGGCCGAATGGTTAGCACATGCATGCTGTGTCATACGGCCTGTCATTGAGTCAACCTGCGTGGTTTCGAATCCCTAGTTGTACGTGACAAGGAGTAGGGTCGCCTGTCCAACCTCGTGGGTTTTCTCCGGGTCCTCCGGTTTCCTCTCACTGCTAAAGACCCCTATACGAGCAAGCACGAATTATTGAAATAAAATTAAACCATATGTTAGTCCCGAAATGACCTTGTTTGTGTTGAGTGGATGTTAAACCCCATTTCTCTCGATATATTAAATATCTTTTAATTACATATGGTAGAATATGAAAATAGGATCTGTATCTAGGAGTTTTAGATATATAGTATAGAAGGACCTCATGAATAATTCCTACATTTATATTGTTTCAATGTGAATAATTAAACTCTTGTCATAATTTATCATGTTTTAACATTTATTAAACAAAAACAAATTAACGACAACCAAATTATGTCTAATAGCTTTAAAATATAAAATCGTGTTAAAACACTCGATAAATTTAACTATCAGACATTTATCACAATGACATGATGAACATGACTTGAGAGAGAGAGAGAGAGGGAGAGAGAGAAAGGGAGAGGGGGAGGGAGGGAGGGAGTTTAACTTAACTCCACGCAAACTAGGTTATTTTGGGACTAACATCTTGTTCAATTTTATTTCATTAGTAGTGGGAGGAAACCTGAAGGACCCAAAGAAAAACCACAATGCGCACACGCTAACCATTCGGTCATCCAACCACCAAGTAAATCCATAAAGTTGTGTTATTATGAATATTAATATACAGTGCACTCTGTCACATTCGACCTCTGATCACTCCGGCACTCTGTTACATCCGACACCATTTTCATGTCCCGATTTATTTCCTTATTACTTCAACCAAAAAATCTCTGGGTAATTCGGGTGATTCGAAGTTCTATTTTCGAAGCTACATTATAGGTTCCAATTTTTCCGGTTTTAAGAAAACTGGGTATTCCGACACTCTGCGTAATCCGACATATTGTAACGATCCCGTACGATGTCAGATGTGACAGAGTGCACTGTATATGTATTATAACTCTATTTCTAAATTAAAGCGATAATTTCATATTTTCTAAGAAAGTCAAAACATAATTATTTCTATGTCTTTTGTTCTATAGGTTGTCAACTCACTATTATACGATCATAGGTATTATTCTCCCTCTTAAAAATCCTTTGACCCCGGAAATAATAACACAATTACCTCCCTTGTTTTTCTATTCCCCCCATGGAATAGCTATCTTCAAACGTTTAAATTTGAAGTTGAAAATGATATTTTTGCCAATTTCTCAACTGGCAATAGTGAATTATAGAATTTATAGGATTATTCTTTTAACGAGGTAGGACTGTTTATAGATACCATCTATTTTAAGGTTTTATTTTAATACATTTTAACAATATAACAGGAAGAAATAGTTTCTAAAGTCTTCTGAGGTTTTTAAAATTGTCTTAAATTTACACACTTATCAGAAATATTGTGTTGTTTCTTTTTCTTTCTATATTTTACCATACTTTAATTATAATTTGTTGGGTTTTTATACGCCCACATTTTCATGTAGACGTATTTGTCGTCGCCCCTGTCCGCCCACAATTTGTTTGTGGATACTCTACAGGTCACAATTTTTATCCAATTTTGAGGAAACTTGAAATATAGGTCTCCCCACAAGAAAACGTCAGTGCATGGCGTCGATGACGAAATGGAAATGAACAAAAATAATGTAAATATTGGAAACAGGTGGCACTGATACTGATTTGTGCGAGTATTTATGCAAATCAAAACAACTAGATTGAAGAAAAAACATATCTGAGTGAATCGGCAGAGGTTAAATTGCTTGACATTACGAATTGTTGAATAAAACCGAGCCGAAGCAAGAGAAGTTAAAATCGAGGCTTCAACAGGCATTGCATTCCTGTTCTTTTTTATTTTATTTTGTCTGGTTGGGCATGGTGTATGCATATTATTCGGATAGAAGATCAGACTCCTGTGAATAAACCAAGAAGTAGTAAATCCATAAAGTTGTTTTATTATGAACGTATTATGAATGTATTTTTTTCTTTTTCTCCCAAATTGGTGAACTCGACTATAATTATGTAGACGGATGAGCCAGCCTCTTAACTCCGTCTCAGTTTCAACCAATAAAGACATAAACAGCATTTAATTTTAATTTGCTAAAAGCCTGGACTCCAATATTTAATAAACTCAAGATGGTAAAGAGGAAATATTTATAATAATATTTGACTTGTAGAGGAATTGGTCGTCAGTTAGAGAGACTAGGGGGGGAACGATGATGGATATCTATACAGATTAAACATGGCTAATCATGGAGACAGTCAAATTACTGTATTTACCCTAATAATACCCTAATCGTAGAGACAGTCAAATTACTGTATTTACCCTAATAATACAAAATATTAAACCCCCCCAGAAATATCTTCTTTAAGCGGCATTTAGCAATTGACATAGGTAATAAACACAAAAGTATAATATGGAACATAATAATTATTTTAATTAAAGCTGCAATTTCATATTTTTAAGTTATATTTTTAAAATTTATTAAAATAAAGCCTTAAAAAAGATGATATCTATAAACAGTCCTACCTTGTTAAAGAATAATCCTATTAATCCTATAATTCACTAATTCCAGTTGAGAAATTGGCAAAAATATCATTTTCAACTTTAAATTCAAACGTTTGAAGATAGCTATTCCATGGGGGGGAGGTAGTTGTGTTATTATTTCCGGGGTCAAATGATTTTTAAGATGGAGAATAATACCTATCATCGTATAATAGTGAGTTGACAACCTATTGAGCAAAAGACATAGAAAAAATTATGTTTTGACTTTCTCAGAAAATATGAAATTATCGCTTTAAACCAATGTTTCGTTTCGTTGAGAGTAACTTTACTATGATTAGTGGTTTCCCCAAAAAGTTTATTGGGTATAATTAGTTGTTATATATTTTGTGTATATGGTTTCATAAGCTCTTATTCCTATATCGGAGATTGATTGGGAGCCACGGTGGCTAGGTGGTTAAGACGCTGGCTCGCTAGCCTGGAGGTCGGGTGTTCAATCCCTGCATTGGCCGAGAAAGTTCATCCAGATTTTCCGACGTGGTTTTCCTTTGTCAGTGGTGCAGAACGGAGGGCCTGACAAGGACAGCTGTCTAGTCCTTCAGATGAGACGAAAAACGGAGGTCCCATGTATATATTGGAATGCACGTAAAAGATCCCCTGGCAGTTGGAATTCGATATAAGAGTAGGCGATAGTGCCGCTGTCCGGGCAAAATTTCCCTCATAGCACACTGTATGGCGTAGGCCCGTCTTCATTAGCCCAGTATAGGAGCAGAACAGCAGGACGTTAAACCCCATTTCATTTTAATTCATATATCGGAGATTGATTTATTATATTAAATGGTTTCCCTATTGATTAAGATTAATTAGTTGTTACTTGTTTTTGTATATAAACCTTCTGTATATTATTTTCATTATCATTTGCTTGAAAACGTTGAGAGAACCCTCAACGAAACGTCGCTTTAATTAAAATAGTAATTGTGTTCCATATTCTGTTTTTGTGTTTATCAGCCAGGAATATATTTATTATAAAATTGTTTTGGGAAATATCAGAATAGTTAATTGTTTGTTTTATAACTGAAGTGGGGCTAATGAAGATGTGCATACACCATACAGTGTGCTATGAGGGAAATTTTGCCTTGACAGCGACAATATAGCCTACTCTTATATTGAATTCCAACTGGCAAGAGGATTTTTTTATGTGAACTCCAATGTGTACATGAGTCCTCAGTTTTTCGTACTATCCAAACGACTAGATAGCTAGCCTTGTCAGACTCTCCCTCCTTGCTGAACTTTGTCAGCCAACACCTGGAGAAAACCCGCAACCTGCAGGCCAGCGAGCCAGCGTCTTACCCACTTAAACACCATGGCCCCTGTTTGTATTATTGAGTTATATATGGTGTATAAAAGATGGATTATTTAGTTATATATGGTATATAAATGATAATATTAGTTATTTTTATTAGTTGATACCCCCAGGCTTACAAGAAGACTACAGAGAGTTAATATTGTAGCCATATTGTCTACCACTTGTAAACAACAAAACATCCCAGTTCTTCTTAACATGTGATTTACAAGCAGCTCTTTAACTCTGTCTCTCTCTGTCTCACAGTTTAACATGGAGGATGATTTATTACTGTGGGAATTAAACATCATCAACTTAAATGATTATATTTAAGATGTCTGGATCAATTACATCACTTAATAAAATTACTGAGTTGAGAGGATGTTAAGTATATAAACCCCATTTGAGAGAGAGAGAGAGAGAGAGAGAGAGAGAGAGAGAGAGAGAGAGAGAGATACAATATACAAAACAGATATACATAGCAAATATACATGACATGCAACATACATAACAAATACACATAGCAGACAAAAATAACACACAACATACATAGCAGATATACATAACATACATAGTAGATATACATAACAGATATACATACATACAGAGATATACATAACATATATACATAGCATACAACATACATACAAAGATATACATAACAAATATACATAACATATATACATAACAGATATACATAACAGATATACATAACAGATTTACATAACAGATTTACATAACATGCATAACATACAACATACATAACAGATATACATAGCAAATATACATAACAGATATACATATCATATATACATAACATACAAAATACATAGCAAATATACATAACAGATATACATAGCAAATATACATAACAGATATACATAGCAAATACAAATATATTTGTTATATATACATTACCAATAGGACAAATGCAACAAATGCAACAAATGCAATTAACATATAGATGAATACAACAAATACATTTTACATTACAAAACATAACAAATGCAGTTGATACCCAACCAATACACTTTATACATAACAAAAACGTAACAAATACATTTTATACCCAACCAATACATAACAAATACAATTAATCCAATTTATTTTTGTTATTGTTTCAAATTATGATAACTAGATGACATTACACATTTTATTATAAAATAATGAAAACTTATTTCTATCGTAGAAAATCTACAAAAATTTAATTCTTCATATATCTTAATTTTGTATAATTTGTATTTTTTAGGAAGTTTGTTCGTCGATGTTTTGAGCCATTTTCAGCGGAGATAAGTGAGAAAGGTGTATATAAAAAGTTATGTCAGGAGACGCTACAATATGTTACAGATCTTACCTCTAAAGTTGAAGAGTAAGTATCGTTAAAATTAATAACTTCAGGCCTTAGGCCTTTTAACAGACTGTATTTTATCAAAGACAATGTGGGGTTGGATGGCCAAATGGTGAACGCATCGGCGTTGTATCATAAGGTCTGTCATTGAGTCAACTGGTGTGGTTTTGATTCCACGGTTGTACGTGACAAGGAGTAGGGTCACTTGTCCAACCTCATGGGTTATCTCCGAGTCCTCTGGTTTCCTCCCACTGCTAAAGCCCCCTACGTGCAAGCGAATTATTGAAATAAAATTGAACCATATGTTAGTCCCGAAATGACTTTTCTCTCTCTCTCTCTCAAAATAGAATGTCACAAATTTCAAAACTTTTGTGGTGCATCCTTCATTCAAAACATGGGTTTTATTCAATTGCCCTTAGCGAAGATTTGAGGAGCAAGGCAACAAATCGTATCTTAGAAAAAAAATTGGACTGAGTGGACATTTTGATATCCCCTCTAGTTTTGACATGAAACATGCACATGACATTTGGAGATAAAATTGAGAGAAAACATTGCTGTCTGGGCGGGAGTCGCGGTGGCTCGGTAAGTAAGAGGTTGCGTCGCTAACCTTGATGTCCTGTGTTCGATCCCTGTGTTGGCCGAGAAAGTTCATCTGGATTTTCTGACGTTCGATATAAGGGTAGGCTGTATTACCGCGGCTTGGGCAAAATTTCCCTCATAGCACACTGTATGCCATATGCTCGTCTTCATTAGCCCAGCTGGAGCAGAACAGTAGGACTTTAAACCCCATTTCATTTTGTGCTGCCTTGGCAGAATTCTCCTACCTCTCATATCATTTGTACAGATATATTTTATTCTATTTTATTCTTTATTTTATTTACAGTAGAATCTGTATTAAGCAGCCACTCAAGTGAATTTGCAGGACTGACCGCTTAATGGGAGTGGCCTCTTAATAAAATCTTAGTGTTTTTTTAGTGCTGACACCAATTAAATATTACGCTTGGATACATTGGAATCAAAACTTCAATACTTGCATTGCTGAATTTTGCCGTTGCTGAAACTTGCTTGGAATGAAAATTTTTTGACTCAAATCTCTGACATAGCTTCTGTAAACGTGTCATTTTGTATGAACATGGATACTACTGTCCACCATTGTATTTTATTATTTATTTATTATTTCCAGGAGAGAGAGAAAATTATATACAGGACTTTATCCTGATTTACAGAGAAGAATCAAATTACCGCAAGGAGATTTAAAGGTATAAAACTCTACCCCTATCCCTTTCCCCTTCTCATCAATAATAGTTAAGAAAAAACCTCTGTTATTGCCATGAAGATATTATTTGACAACATTGAATTGTGGTCATATAATATATTGTTTTCACCCTCATCCAGCTGGAGCAGATTGGATGGCCGAATGGTTTGCACGTGAACGCTGTATCATAAGGTCAGCTGACATGGATTCAAATCACCAGTTGTACGTGACAAGGAGTAGGGTTGCCTGTCCAACCTCGTTGGTCTTCTCCGGGTCCTCGGGTTTCCTCCCACTGCTAAAGATCCCTACGCACAAGCGAATTATTGAAATAAAATTGAACCCTATGTTAGTCCCAAAATGACCTAGTTTGTGTTGAGTGGAGATTAAACTCTCTCTCTCTCTCTCTCTCTCTCTCATAGAAATATATTCATAAGACAGAGGATATTATCCATTTCCGATAACTACTGTCAGAGTTGTGGCCCTTTATCATTGAGAAAAATCTCATTGATGCTGAAGGGTTTGATTTAGATATTTTGAACTCTATGAATGACAACCAAAATCAGTAGATATATATTGACTATATGTTGCTTATTCATATTTGTGCAATGTTGTTTTTGTTTTTTCTTAAATGTCTCTTAGATTAATGAAAGAATAATTATAAATGTTATAAGCGTTCATATTCTCCCTTAAGTGGGGTTGGGATGGCCTAGTGGTCTAGAGTGCCGCGCTTCGACCTTTAGCTGGCGGGTCACCTCTGGCTTGCGGATGTGGTTTCGATCCCTGGTGTGAGTGTATGTGGCTTGGAGATAGGGGCCCCTGTACCAAGATAATAAAAATGAAAAATAAGACTTGTCTGCGATATCACCTTCAGTGGAAGAGGACGTTAAACATTAAGAACAACAACAACATTCTCCCTTACTGAAATCCGCAGTGCACACAAATTCTTAACTGATGGGCAATAAAGGTTCTTAGGTTTCTCAATTAACAATCATACAAGACAGAGGGTTGAAAAAGCATCAAGTCAAGCAGGGTGGGGATTGAATATTTGATAGTTTTGCCCCATCAATGATCAATACAGGATTTTTTTCTTAAATTTCAGTTAACGTTCTTTTGAGATTTTGACCCCCTGATGGATGTTCAAAACGAATATTATTTTATATAATTTCAGTTAACGATATTATATACAGCCAAATTACTGGAAGGATTTTACCCAGATCATGTGATCAAACGCCTCCAATCAACTGAAGAGGAATTTTGGGAATCGCAACATTTATTATATCGTGATTGGAAAGGTATGTGTTGGTTGTTTTTGCGTTCTGGTGGCTCAGTGAATAAGACGTGGGCTCGTTAACTAGGACGTCATAGGTTTGATACAGGTGTTGGCCGAGAAAGTTCCTGGGAATTTTCTGGAATGGATTCCTCTTGTCTGTGGTGCAGGAGGGAGTGGCCTGGCAGGAATAGCATTGAGTCATTCGGATGGGAATGTGTACACATTGACGTGCATGTAAAAGAACCCTTGACAGTTGGAATTCAAAATAATAGCTGGCTGGAGCGCCGCTGTCTGGGTAAAATTTCCCTCATAGCAGATCGCATGACATATGTCCATCTTCATTAGATCTTACTCCTTGGAATGGAAACCACGCCAGTTGACTCAATGACAAACCTTATAATACCACGCACACACGCTAACCATTCGGCCATCCAACCCCACGTCATGGAGGGGGGTTGGATGGCTGAATGGTTAGCATGTGCGTGCTGTATCATAAGTCTGTCATTGAGTCACATGTTGTGGTTTCGAATCCCTGGTTGTATGTGACAAGGAGTAGGGTCGCCTGTCCAACCTCGTGGGTTTTATCCGGGTCCTCCGGTTTCCTCCCACTGCTAAAGACCCCTACGCACAAGCGAATTAATGAAATAAAATTGAACCATATGTTAGTCCCGAAATGACGTAGTTTGTGTCGAGTGGACGTTAAACCCAATGTCTCTCTCTCTCTCTCTCTTCCTGTGATGGAGTCATTTGTAGAAATAAATAAAGATATTCTATATACACTGTAATCCGGGTATCATTTAATCTTGTGTTTTTGTAGAAATAAATAAAGATGTTTTAATGTTCTCTTATTCATGTTTTCAGGGTTAGCATGTAAAAAACTGAGTGATACATTCTCTAAAGCCTTTCTAGTACCTCTAGAAGAAACAGATAATAGTTTTGAGCTAAAGGTAATGGTTTGTTCGTTACTAGATTTTTACATCCACTTCCACCATGGGTGATATCATAATAAGGGTAATGGTTGTGCTTTTTTGCAATTTAAACAGGGCTGTGGTGTAAGGGGAGATAATGTGAAGAAATAGTCCTTCATGCAGAGTTATTTCCCCTGACACATTATTAAAGCTTCCTTTTTGAATGAAGAAAGATTTTGTATTTGTTCTTTTAATGAAGGCAATGTTTGATTGAATTCCTCCAATCCCACAAATAACTTCAGAAGACACAAATATGTTCTGATTAAATAAATTGAGCATTTTAAGACTGATTTAAATAATGGCAAAAATGATGCCACTAGAATAGCCCATGAATTAAAATGAATTCACAAGTTTTTGCACCCGATGGCATTAAGGATAAGATATGGTAACAAAGAGTCCCAACTCTATTTGTTTAACCATAGATATTGACAGTCGAGTGAACAGAAGGATTCATGCATGGTATGTTCATCTCCGAGTGGTCGTTAATAAAATACAAACATATATTAGTTGATGAACATTATAATCTATACAGATGAGACATGGAATTCGATATAAGAGTAAGCCATAGTGCCGCTATCCGGGCAAAATTTCCCTCATAGCACACTGTATGGCGTATATGCTAGTTTTCATTAGACCAGTGGGAACAGAACAGTAGGACGTTAAACCACATTCCATAAAATTCCATTTCCATTATTCGGGTAGCTGATTAAAATGTTTGATCTACTGAACTGACCATAAACTGATCTCTCTTTCTCTCTCTCTTTCTCTCTCTCTCTCTCTTTCTCTCTCTCTCTTTCTCTCTCTCTCTTTCTCTTTCTCTCTCTCTCTTTCTCTCTCTTTCTCTCTCTCTCTTTCTCTCTCTCTCCATTTGCTTCAACCTGTCCAATATTCAAATATTCTGTTAGCTAATTAAAATGTCTACCTGTCCATTACTGTTAACACTGTCCAATCAATATTCTGTTAGTTATTTTAAATGTCTATTCGTCCGTTCTTCTGTGGGGGGTGGATAGCTGAATGGTTAGCATGTGCGCGCTTTATCATAAGGCCTGTCATTGAGTCAACTGGCGTGGTTTCGAATCCCCGGTTGTACGTGACAAGGAGTAGGGTCGCCTGTCCACCCTCTAGGGTTTTCTCCGGGTCCTCTGGTTTCCTCCCACTACTAAAGACCTCTATGTGCAAGCGAATTATGGATATAAAATTAAACTATATGTTAGTCCCGAAATGACCTAGTTTGTGTCGAGTGGACGTTAAACTCCATTTCTCTCTCTCTCCCGTCCTTCTGTTATACTAGCTAAATGTTTTAAATGATTAATTTCTGTAGGATACAATTCTTCATATTGGAATAAGAATTGAAATAAGAATATTTATATCATATTTTACAGGTGGAACATTTAAATTTATCTCGTTACGTTCAGATGTTGGCTACAGCCCATGTTTACGATGATTTAGATGTCGTCACAGCGATACACGCACCAACAGGTTGGTTTAATTAAACATTACTCTCAGTAATCTAGTAGCTTGGTAAGTCTTGCCTTATGTAAGAGTTAAATTTGCCTAATACAAAACTTTTGTTTGCCCTCAAATGTTACATAAATCATTAAAGATACATTCCTGCGTACAAACTGGGTGATTTGATGATATATTTGGCCTAAAAACATTCAAACTAATTAATTTATCATAAATTTAATTCAAATCCTTCTCAAAACATTGTAATTGTCAAGGAATACCCTGGCTATAAAAAAATCAATCAAAAGAGGTCATGTTTGTGTCACGTGACTTACCGCTCTCTCTCGGAGGAGAATTCATTGCATACACAAGACAATGTTGTCTTTAATCGCAGACTATTTATTACAAATATCAAAGCCTAATTAAATTCTCGGATTATCATAATTTTGCTTCAAATCCTTCTCAAAAGATTGCAATTGCATACCCAGGCTATAAAAAAAATCAACCAAAAGAGGTCATGTTTGTGTCACATGACTTACAGGTGCGAAGTCGGAGGAGAATTCATTGCATACACAAGACGATGTTGTCTTTAATCGCTGACTATTTATTACAAATATTGAATCCTAATTAATTTCTTGGATTATCCACTGCCCGCGTCTTTTTCCGTGATTTTTATCTAAGAAAGTGTTGTATGTCTAACTCTTCATAAAGTTTATCAACATGTACATCAAGTGCTCAATCTCCATGTGCAACCTTTGACGTCATGTGTGCAGATATTCCTAATCGTCGGGCTGTCAATTAGCGGAACCCTGACATTTTTGTCCTGTATACGCTCCATGAGTGTTTTTCAGGGAATCCAGTATCTTTCTAGTAAGATTGGATATCTCTACTTTCCATCAATACCAAAATTGCCATACTTTTCTTGGAAATAACCACCCGATAAATACTTTTCTGGGAACCTATCTTTTCTGGGAACCTATCATTAAATAGACTTATGATCAACTCTCTAGATGATTGGATGGGTTTGTTTTTCAACGGATTTAAACACGATTACCAGTTAATTATTAAATTCGGGGATCACGTGGCTAAGTGGGTAAGGCGCTGGCTCGCTAGCCTGGAGGTCGGGTGTTCGATCCCTGCATTGGCCGAGAAAGTTCATCTCGATTTTCCGGCGTGGTTTCCCCCTTGTCAGTGATGCAGAAAGGAGGGCCTGACAAGGACAGCTGCCTAGTCGTTCGGATGGGACGAAAAACCGAGGTCCCGTGTACACATTGGCGTGCACGTAAAAGATCCCTTGGCAGTTGGAATTCGATATAAGAGTAGGCCGTAGCGCCGCTGCCCGGGCAAAATTTCCCTCATAGCACACTGTATGGCGTATGCCCGTCTTCAATTAGCCCAGGTTAGGTGCAGAAGAGTAGGACGTTAAACCCCATTTCATTTCATTTCATTTCATTTAATTATTAAATTAAAAAATCAATAACCGTGTCTTTGTTTATTATCACAACAACAATACTAATGACAATTGAGACTAACATCGCTCAGAATGAAGTAATTTGACTGAAATTTTCAACATATTATTATTCCTTTTTCATTATCTATTTTTTTTTTTCACTATTATAGCGTGAACGACAAGCTCTTTATCTAAATCTTACATAATGCATCTTTGATATAATATTATTGTGGAGCTAATGTGGATATGAATCCACAGTATTTAAATGACGTTAATATGATATTTTTGTATATTCTGTAGCCAATGTAGATGTGAAACCACCGTATTTAGATGGAGGATATTTTAATCCAACACAAAGATTGATTCATACGACAAGATTCGGTACACCAAGGTAAATCATTCCATACTTTCTTTTCTCAGAGTATCAAATTTCAATTAGATTTAGCACCTTGTATTTTAATCTTTATTTCTTATTCACTTTTCTCTGAGTACTGGCCCTGAATTCACGAAATATTATTGGACTTAAGTTAGGAATTTACTCAAAACTGTTCGCCTTATTTTAACTAAAATATAGCCCTTTATAATAATTTTGTTGTTTGAATGTATCAGATACATCAATAAGAAACTGTGTACAAAGTTTTGTTTCTGGATCAAAGATATTTCTCTTAAACAGTGATTGAAAGTTGAGAAAATTCTTAACTGAAGTCTGGAAATGCTTTGTGAACTCGGGGCCAGATATTTGATGTTTATGAATTTTGACGATATTTTTATTGTAGAGAAAGACAATGCCCGTGGAAGATACCGTACGAAGTTCGCGTTTTTGATAAATTAGAAATACCTTTACCAATTCCTCATCCTGCTAATGTTGCTGTAGCTATTTTTAATAGGTAACTTATATAGTTTATATCCGAGGTGGTGGTGTTGGGGGTGGCTAATGTTGCTGTAGCTATTTGTAATATGTAACTTACACAGTTTGTATCCGAGGTGGGGGTGGGGGGCGCTAATGTTGCTGTAGCTATTTATAATTGGTAACTTCCACAGTTTACATCCGAGGTGGGGGTGTTGGGGGGGGGGGGCTAATGTTGCTGTAGCTATTTATAATAGGTAACTTCCACAGTTTATATCTGAAGTGGGAGGTGGGGTGTAGAGGGGGGCCTTATGATTTAACGTGTATGATTTGGATCATAAAGTCTGTCATTGAGTCAAGTGGCGAAGTTTCTCTTCCCTGGCTTGTAACTTACACCATTTATATACATAGGTGTAGAAGGGTTCAAAATGAAATGCCCTGTGTAAATTTTGCAAATCCGTTTTCCTGCTTTTTCGACAGAAAGTGGTCCAATATGAACTTATTGAGAAATACGAGCTGTAATACGGCTAAAGATCCCTACGTGCAAATGAATAATTGAAATAAAATTGAACCATGTGTTAGTCCCGAAATGACATGGTTTGTGTCGAGTGGACGTTAAGCCCCATTTCTCTCTCTCTATATATATATATATATAACAATAAAATGAAATGAAATGGGGTTTAATGTCCTACTGTTCTGCTCCTATACTGGGCTAATGAAGACGGGCATACGCCATACAGTGTGCTATGAGGGAAATTTTGCCCGGGCAGCGGCACTATTGCCTACTCTTATATCGAATTCCAACTGCCAGGGGATCTTTTACGTGCATTCCAATTTATACATGGGACCTTGGTTTTTCGTATCATCTGAAGGACTAGACAGCTGTCCTTGTCACAAGTGACAAGGGGAAACCGCGTCGGAAAATCTCTATATATAACAAATTTACATAACATGTATATTGTAATTCATGTTATGAGCTGCCGTGGTGGATTAGTGAGTAAGACCATGGCTCGCTAACCAGGAGGTTCCATGTTCGATTCCGATGCAGAAAAAGTTCATCAGGTTTTTACAGTGTGGTTCCACCTTGTCAGGGGTGCTTGATGTAGGACCTCTCAATGTATAGTCTTTCGGATGGGACATAAAACTGAGGTCTTGTTTACTCATTGTCATGCACGTAACAGAATCCTTGTCGGTTGGAATTCGAAATTAAGAGTTGGCCAAGGCCAGGCCTCATGCAAGGGGGGTGCAGCCGGTACACCGCCCCTGGGCCCATAAGAGTCTATGAGGCCCATGAATATCAAAGTTCAAAATAGAAATGGGCAATTATGCATGAATTTTTTATTGTTCCTTTGAAGCTTATTTGAGTATGTACAAAATTTTTCGCTTTATCGCAATCTGCTAGTGAATCATCTAGATATGACTAGTGTTGGAGGGTGGGGAGGGTCAAAAAAGTTCTCGCCACAACACAGTTTTTTCTCTCAAGGGCCCTGGCCGTAGTCTGGGCAAATTTCCCTCATAGCACACTGTATGGTGAATGCCTGTCTTCATTAGCCCAGTTCGGAGCAGAATTTAACATCTATAGTATTGTAATTTATATTCCCAGGTTTTTGTTAATCCCTGTTATTTTTGATTATCCAGGGAGAATGACCATGATGAAATAGATGTTGATGATATTTATTGTGCCAGGATAATCCGAGCTACTAAAGATGTTCCATATATAGACTTAGGTGAACAATCCAGTTTCGATTTTTATGATGGAGAACCAAGCACGCCAGATAATGCGACGGAGGAATCTGTCACAGTTGTCTCCCATTTAGCTCAACAGGAACGATCGTTCTCGGAAGAATTGATTAATCAGTTCGCGGGAACGACAACGGCGTCCCAGTGCAGCATATCGGCAACGACACCTAGTTCTATCGGTGTTGAAACCGACACGGAAGGTCATGTGATGAAAGTTGTGTATTCAGAAGATGAAATAGACAATAGTTGTATGATATATATCGATGACGAAGACAATGATGAATTGTATGATGTGGCCGTTACCCCTGAATCAGATCAATTGTGATGATTTGCTAAAGACATATAAACATGTAATTTGATTGGTCAGTGATGTATCATTACAATTAAATAATGATTTTATTGGACAATGATCTATCATTACAATTAAATAATGATTTTATTGGACAATGATTTATCATTACAATTAAATACTGATTTGATTGGTCAATGGTTTATCATTACAGTTAAATACTGATTTGATTGGTCAATGATTTATCATTACAATTGAATTATGATTTGATTGGTTAATGATATTATTTAAATATGTATCATATGATATAATTGGTTAATGATATTATTTAAATATGTATCATATGATATGATTGGTTGCTGATATTCTATGAACATTTGATTGGTTTAGATATGTGACCTTGTTTCATTGATTAAATATATATCCTGACGAACTTCAATTGGATGACGATTTTGTGAATAATGTGAATTTGATTGGTTAAATATGCATAATGTTTATATTTTATTGGTTAACGCCATAATGTATTTTGATTGGTTACTTAATTGGTTAATGATGTAATATGTAATTTGATTGGTTGATGGTTTACATATGAAGAAATAATGTAGGGATATTAGTAAATAATGGTTGAAATAGATGAACTATGTTCTATCAAGTATTTTTTAAGCTTTTTTTTTGTTATTATTTTCTGATTATTGATGTGTGGAGTTGAGTAAGATTAGTTTCTCTTTTAAAGGGAAGTTAAAAAGATATATTTGTTTTGAAATGTAAGAATTTTGTTTATGTACAGCTTAAAAATCTGCCATGTTTACTGTTTAAACAGCATCTAGTAATTGAACACATTAAATTAATTACAAGAGTTATATGGAAAAAAAATTGGGGGGTTGGATGGCCGTATGGTTAGCATGTGTGCAGTTGGAATTCGATATAAGTGTAGGCCATATCACTGCCGTCCGGGCAATATTTCTCTCATAGCACACTGTATGGCGTATGCCCGTTTTCATTAGCCCAGTCGGTGCAGAACAGTAGGACATTAAACCTCATTTCATATCTGGCTGGGGGCGTTGGATGGCTAAATTGTTATCGTGTGTGCGTTGTATCATAAGGTCTGTCATTGTGTCAACTGGAGTGGTTTCGATTCCCCGGTTGTACATGACAAAGAAGGAGTAGGGTCGCTTGTCCAACCCCGTGTGTTTTTTTCCGGGTCCACGGGTTTCCTCCCACTGCTAAAGACCCCTACACACAAGCGAATTATTGAAATAAAATTGAACCATGTGTTAGTCCCGAAATGACCTAGTTTGTGTCAAGTGGACGTTAAACCCCATTTCTCTCTCCCTCCTACTGGGCTGTTTAAGACGGAAAGATGAGAGTATCATCGTCGAAACATTGCACGTTAATAAACCAGTAATTGTTATTCCATAAATACTTTTTAGCCTGTCACTGTTCAATTACTTAATGCCTCTCAAAGAAGTACTTTATTCTGCATTTCTTGATCACGGTTACTTTGATTTCAGAACATCCGTTATATTTGTTAGCTAATGGACCTTGGGTTGATTTATGTAAAACAAAAAAGACTTCTAGAACTTTCCCTGTCAGTTTATGTTATTAAACTGTTTAGCACAGCATAAAAACGAAAAAACGGTCTAGTCAGAGCTTAGTCAGAGTCTAGTCAGAGCATAGTCAGGGTCTAGTCAGAGGAGAGAATGATCAGTGGAAAATCATGAAGTTAGGTGAACATCTCTGGGCTCGGTTTCACAAAACACTCTCAGACTTAAGTTAAGAATTTACTCAGAATTGTTGGCCTTATTTTAACTAAAATATAGCCCTTTATAAAACCTTTTAATGTATCAAATACATCATTAAGAAACTATGTGCAGATTTTTATGTTTCTGGATCAAAGATATTTCTCATAAACTGTGATTGAAAGTTGAATAAATTCTTAACATAAACATACATTATACAAGAGCTAAATCAGCCTATTGCAGGTCTTTCTTTAGGCCTTAAATGTTATATAAACTCTTAATTAGACATTAATTAACTTATCCAGACCATAATTAACTCTTGATGCCATTGCTAGCCTGCGATATATTTAGCGGATTGGAATACATTTTTTGTAAAATAATTAAACGTAAAAATGGATAATCAAGACGTTGTTTTTTATCGTACCGACTTTAGTCTGAGAATGTTATTTGAACTCGGGGCCTGGGCTCTTATTTCAGTTTAATTGAACAGTATGCTGTAAATACTGTTAGATTTATAAATATATGTATACAAAATTTGGTTAATGCTAAAAATTACCATGTGATATTTTTGTTTAAAAAATCTTGCTTATTCAAAGTAAACAAAATAGGTCAACATTAACTGACTGGCAATATTTTGAATTGAAAGCCCTGACCATACATTCACTAGAACTGTTTTAATAGTAGGGCCTATAACATATACAAACGTGATGTGTGAAACGGGGGCTCCAGTGTGATTGACCCTTTCAACGCAAAAAGGGAGATAACTGGCTTGTACCGTACTTATGATTATAGATCTATATCAGTGGTTCTCAACCGGTGTGCCGCGAAATCTTCCTAAGTGTGCCGCGAAATTTTAAACGGCACACTAAGAAAATTTCTCACCACAGATGCCAGCTATTTGACTGATGAAATTAGAAACACTGCAATAAAGTAAGTTCATAGCTGTGTTGTTCTTTATTTAGTTTGAGTCATTCTATGTGTCTATGACTAGTCTGTGTCTACGGTTGTATGCCATCTATGACTTGCCATGTTTTATTCTGCAAAATTTCAATATTTTTCATATATATTTAACCAGGTGTGCCGCTATTTTTTCATGTGTTCCGAGGTGTGCCAATCGTTTGCTAAAAAATGTTGAGGACCACTGATCTATATTATAAATGTTTACATGACAACTTCGTTTTTTTGTCCTATCCGATCGATATAAGGGAGATAACCAGTCTGTCGAGTCTACTATTGATTATATAGGCCTACTAATGAATATAGATGTGTATTAGAAAGGCTGAAAACATATATTATTATACCATGCTTTAATTTTCTATTAGTATTTTTATTTTAGATGTCTTAAAGACACGTTTATTTGTACATAATTTAATCTACCTAAATGACTTTTGTTACCGTATTATTTTAGTAGTATTTATTATATTATTTTCAGTTTGTTTTTGTTTTGTTTTATTAACAAAGGGTATTTAGTTGCGTATCACATGTTGTTCAGTATTATTGCTCCTAACATTCTGTTATTTATCTTGGAACTGTTCAGTACTCTCAGCTTTGTAACAAAATGAACATGTCTGTACATAAAGGGTAAATTAGTTTAACTCTTTCGAATGTATACCACTTGAAATACTGCTCGCTCTCTCTCTCTCTCTCTCTCTCTCACTCTCTCTCTCTCTCTCTCTCTCTCTGGTGATTCAGAATATAAAAAGATTGTGATAATGGTAAAAATTGGTATATTTTGCTAATCTAAATTAAAGGAAATCCATCAAAAAAAATGACCTGCTGGCAGTATTTAAAATGATAACCCTGGTTCAGTGGCTTATTTCTGAGTTTATATTTTATAGAGCTATTCATTTTGTTGATATGATTTACATGACATCTGTAAAACTGGTGACATGTGTCTTGTGACATGTTAAATTACTCTGTCTAGTAATATTGAACACAACCATCATAGGGTCAAATGACAAGTGATAGTCCGGAAATGTTATCTAAAATATTTAACATACATTATGCAAAAGCTAAATCTGCCTATTGCAGGTCTTTCTTTAGGCCTCAAATGTTATATAAACTATTAATTAGACATTCATTAACCTATCCAGACCATAATAAACTCTTGATACCATCGCTAGCCTGCGATATTTAGCAGATTAGAATACATTTTTTGAAAAATAATTAAACGTAAAGATGGATAATCGAGACTTAGTTTTTTATCATACCGACTTTAGTAATGATGATCGAAGCCTAAGCCAAAAATTAAATTGCTAATATTTTGGTTCAGAGTTGAGTAATTTGACTGAAATTTTCAGCATATTCTATTTACGTTATCTTTTTTTGAACTATTATAGCGGGAACTGTCAGCTCTTTATCTAATCTCCCATAATGCTCCTTTAAGGATGTAGAAATGTTAGCTTATTTAGTATATAAACGTGATGCGGGTACATCAGTGCAATCTTGTATTATTCTAGTATTAAACAATCTCGTTAAAACACAGATCCTATTTCGTTTCATCTGTAGACTTAGATGGCCAAGGGACAGTTTCTACACTTTTCGAAATTAACCATACGAATTGAATCAGACCACGTTTTATTCAACTGGAACTAAATTACAACTTATCAATATAGAAGATAACTCTTGTCTATAATAATCATGTAGTCACGAACATACATGTACATTAGTATTATTGTTGTCTACAGATGCCACTCAGCAAACCTCAACAGATTCCACTACCCTACATCTAATCTCGACTGTATGACAAAGTCCGCCATTAGAACTACTTTCAAGTTTCCGGATTACAATGGCGTTGTCCATGACGACCAATGACGTCATTGATCACGCATTTTCAAAGTTTGAAGCTGTTTTTCTTTCAAGTTTATCCGATTTTCTTTAGACAAGGACAAATTTGCACTGAAAATTCTACACACTCTTCGAACGACGCAATTTTGAGAACTTCTTTTTAAACGCGGGCAAGTTTCCCTTATAAGTAAACCGGTGCCACATCGCAAATGTATAGGCGTAGGTACATATCACTTACTGTCATACAGCCGAGGCTAGATGTACGGTACCGGAATCTGCCAAGGTTTGCCGAGTGCTAGAGATGCTACATCGTCTTTTTATAGTTCAAAATTTCGTTTTACTTGTCTTTACTACACTAGGATCTGGAAGAGTTGTTATATAACCCACATTCTGGATGATGTGAGGGATTAGCCAATGAAACAGTCTGTTACAGCGAGATTTTGGCATGGCAATGCACAGAATTGTGGGTTAATCAATGTATGATGTCATTGAGTCAAAAGCCACTCGTATGACCCCTGATGTGACCTTCCAGTACAACCAGTCAGATCTTCATGTAGTATAGGCCATCAAAAGTATAAAAAAAATTAAACGAAATATAGATGTGTATTTTAATCAGATTGAATAGTAAATATTCAACTAGTCTCCTTCATCTGAAATTAGAATTTATTTGAAAGGACATGACTCTTAAGTGAAAACTAGTCTTCTTCTTCTGAAAATACATAAAAAATAAACAACATAACTTTGGAAATTGAAATTAATTTGAAAATACACGACTCTAAATTGAAAATGATGGAAGAAATAAGAATTGAATGCCTAGCACATCAGTTGGAAATGTTATTCTTTCCCGATATCAATACCAGTAGCTCCATTTACCCAAATCAACCCTGAGGGTAAATCGTCCTACCCGTTTTATATGAGTGTAGGGGGGTTGGATGGCCGAATGGTTAGCACGTGCACGCTGTATCATAAGGCCTGTCTATGAGTCAACTGGCGTGGTTTTGAATCCCCGGTTGTACGTGACAAGGAGAAGGGTCGCCTGTCCAACCTCGTGGGTTTTCTCTGGGTCCTCCGGTTTCCTGTCCCTGCTAAAGACCCCTACGCGCAAGCGAAATATTGAAATAAAATGAAACCATGTTAGTCCTGAAATGACCTTGTTTGTGTCGAGTGGACTGTTTAACCCCATTTCTCTCTCTCTCTCTTATATGAGTGCACTCCATGGTCTTCGTGTTTGACCTTATCTTCCCCTACCCTCCCCTTTACCAACCAGGCTAACGAAGACAAGGGCACATCATGGTTTTTGAGTGCAACCTCATCTTCCCCCTCCCCTCCCCAGCACCAATTAGGCTAATGAGGACAAGGGCACACCATGGTTTTTTTGTTTGACCTTATCTTCCCCCACCCTCCCCTGCACCAACCAGGCTTTTAAAGACGAGTGCACACCATGGTCTTTGTGTTTGAGCTCATCTTTCCTTCCCTCCCCTTCACTATAGAACTAAATATTTATAGTTCCATGCTATGCCTTCACCAACCAGGCTTATGAAGACGAGTGCACACCACCCATTCTCATGAAGACAAGTGCACACCATGGTCTTTGAGTTTGACCTCATGTTCCCCCACCCTTCTCTGCACCAATCATTGTCCTTGAGTGTGATGCCCTCCACCCCTCATATCACAACCTCTACCCTCTCCTCCCCAAAAAACACACAACACATTAAACTTCAAATGAAAATAGTCCAACTGGTTCCTCTATGATATTATCTTTAAAACAATTTTAAATGTTGGTGTCTGTATGATCAAGACTAGATGGTTTATTATATGAGTCTGTATGATCGAGACTAGTTGAATTGTTGTGTACTATTTTTAATTAATTGAGCTTTTTGTTAAATAATTTGTTTAGTTTTTTTGTTTTTTTCAATTCACGACATTTTGTTTTGCCTTACAACGATTTCAAATCAAGCTTGCAATTTTTTTATAGCATCTTCATGGAAGTTAAATTAATTGAATTTGAAATAAAGAACACTATGAACAATGTTTGTTTTATTGCTGACTAGCATTGTCAATAGAAGGCTTGATCTCGCTTTAACTAAGTACATCTTATCAAGGCCTTCACGTAACACCCTGCATATTGCGGCACAAATTTCGATTGGGTACAAGCGATCGTCGCAAATACCAAGTCTCGCGCTTTCAAGCTAAAATGTCTACCTGTGATAATCGAGTTGCAAAGTTCAAGGTTCATTCAATGTCAAGGTTTCCATGGAGGTTGTGATGTCACAACCTACTGTTCTCATGTCTGTAGATAACATAGCTATAAGTTCGGGAATTGTGAAGTAAACAAGCAACAGCCAGATGTTGTGAAACTCGCAGTTGTTGCTTTGGGAAGATGGCTGACTAGGGACTCGTGGGGGAGCCGTCATAGCTCAGTGAGTAAGCTGGTGGCTCAGTAACTCCTGGGGCACCATGGTGGCTCCATGAGTAAGCTGGTGGCTCAGTAACTCCTGGGGAACCATGGTGGCTCTGTGAGTAATACAATGGCACAGTGACTCGTGGGGAAAACACAGTGGCTCAGTGAGTAATACAATGGCACAGTGACTCGTGGGGAAAACACAGTGGCTCAGTGAGTAAGACAATGGCACAGTGACTCGTGGGGAAAACACAGTGGCTCAGTGAGTAAGACAATGGCACAGTGACTCGTGGGGAAAACACAGTGGCTCAGTGAGTAAGACAATGGCACAGTGACTCGTGGGGAAAACACAGTGGCTCAGTGAGTAATACAATGGCTCAGTGACTCGTGGAGAGACACAGTGGCTCAGTGAGTAAGAAGTTGCCACGCTGAACTGCAGGTCCAGGGTTCATTTCCAGTGTTGGCTGAGAAAGTTCATCATGTCAGTGGTGCAGGACAGAGGGCTTGGCAAGGAACAGTGTCTAGTCATTTGGATGGGATGAAAAACTGACATCCCATGTAGACATTGGTGTGCATGTAAAAGAACCATGGACAATTTGAATTTGAAACAAGGGTAGGCTGTAGCTCCACTGCCTAGGCTAAATTTCTACTGCATGTACGTGGCAAGGATCAGTAAGGTCACCAGTCCAAACTCGTGGGTTTCCTCCGGTTTCCCCTAAAGACCCTAAGCAAATCATTGAAATAAAATTGATCCATATGTTAGTCCCAAAATGATCTAGTTTGTGTCGAGTGAACGTTAAACCCAATTTTTCTCTCATCTACGAATAATATGGTTTGATCCAAGTCCAAATTTCTGAATTATCTTTCTCTGTATATGTTGGATCCTTTGCTGTGTTTTCTATAAATCCGGATGTGGTATTGTCCTTGACCCCAGAGCGGAAGTTTACAAGTGACAGAAACGCATATTTTTTCTAGAATTTTGATTCCATAATGCGTCTTAATTTTCACCAATAACCCAATTTTACTCGATTCTCAGTTGTGTTTTATTCGTCCTGAATGAGTGGCATATCGGGAAATTCACTTAATCAACCCGAAAATCAAAATGGCGAAGAAAGAGCTGATACAACGTGCTCAACAATTTCTTCGCCAGAGGCAAGAGATCCGAATAGCGTCAACGACGTTGTTGACACTGGGAATTCCACCATGGTGACAAACACAGATGTTGAATCAGTCAGCGACTCAGAGTTAGCTGTGGTGACTGCAACAGTCGACATGATGGTACAGCGTACAAATGCTCCATTCACCATAAACCGATCACTTTCTTTAAACCTGGATGACCATGTCGCCGAAGCCAGCTCCTCGACGCAAACAGCACCCAATCGTTCAGATACAGATTTGGGATACCAGATGTGTATGGCCCGACCAGTTCGTGCGGAGACTTTCTGTGATTGTGTGAAGTTTGGTAAAGAAAAGAGCTGTAAATGTGGGGAAGATGACAGATGTAATTTTTTCTAATTTATATTTATTTACATGTACCTATTCAAAACGGGTGCCAGTCAAGTCGTCCACAAGCAAATTTCATCCACAGTCAAGTCGTCCACAAGCAAATTTGTCCACAGTTAAGTCGTCCACACCCGTTGGTGGAGCCGTCCACACTAACATATATCTACAACCTGGAATTAAAATAAGTCATGTGGACGACTCCACCAACGCGTGTGGACGACTTAACCAGATTTTTCGTGTGGACGATATTTCTTGTGGCGACTTGACTGGCATTCTTCAAGACTATGGCCAACTTCAGTAAAAATGGTTAGCATGTGAGCGCTGTATCATAAGGTCTGTCATTGAGTCAACTGGCGTGGTTTCAATTCCCTAGTTATACGTGACAAGGAGTAGGGTCACCTGTCCAACCTCGTGGGTTTTCTTCTGATCCTCCAGTTTCATCCCACTGCTAAAGACCCCTAGGTGCAAGCGAATTATTTAAATAAAATTGAACCATGTGTTAGTCCTGAAATGACCTAGTTTGTGTCAAGTGGACGTTAAACCCATCTCTCCCTCTCTATTAAAGCTATTTGTTTCCTGTGGTGGCAGTAACTCTAAAAAGCACACATCAATTTCAGCCACTTTAGAATTTCTTTACAATTGAATATCCGTCAAAACATTGGTAAAAATGGACAATTATCGGTAAATACTGATAGTGTTATGCACCATGATGCAATCATCAACCATTGCCGATGATAACCAATGATCGGCTAATCTCTATTCATAACAGGTGTAGTCAGATCAACTATTTCTACTGTCACACTTCCCAGTAATGGCCCTGGCTCTCAAAATTCATTAGTCAGATCAAAAACTTGTATTCAAATAAAATACTGACTAAATTGAATCCTCATCCTGAACCAATGCACTAATCTGACAACAATTTTATATTTGAATGGGACTAAAAACCTATGTCGCATGAACAATAATTATTTGTGTACGAAATGAAGACAAGTCAAAATACCAATCCTTCGCATTAAAATAAAATTACTAGCTTAGTCTGAAAATGGCGGAAGTATTTCTTTAACGATTAATGAAACTTAAGCCGATTCTTTTCTGTGTTCCACATTCAGAATGAAAAAAATAACGATTTTGCAGAAGAGATTGAAAGTGATTTATTTGAAGAATCTGAAAGTGATTTACATGTATTTGAAGAGTCTGAAAGTGATTTTGTCTGAAAGCGATTTAGTTGAAGAATCTGAAAGCAATTTAGTTGAAGAGTCTGAAATCGATTTAGTTGAAGAGTCTGAAAGCCACGTCTTTCTTATTATTTCAGATTTTGATTGGGTTTGGGATGAGAAAACGAAATCTCCTGCTAGTCAGTTGATAGATGATGGTAAAGAAGTAGCCTTTCATCTGGACTATAGTTGTGGTACAGCAGCTGTTCGAGGAAATAAGCCAATGGCTAAAGATCAATATTTCTGGGAAGTTAAAATGACAAGTCCTGTTTATGGAACAGATATGGTAACATTACTTTGTTATATTATTACATAATAATTACTGCCAGATTTATGGCCCTTAGTCACTTTGAAGTATCACGTGGACGCTTTAGAGGCTAAAGTTAATATCCGATTGACTTTATATTTATACACAGTGTTTAAGGTCATGAGACGAAGAAGCCTTTCAATTTTCAAGCATTTCATATGATTATGGCAATTGATATTAAATGTTTTGTATACTAAATGTTAGAATAGGGCAGAACTAGAAGTCAAAATGGTTGTTACTCGAAGTGTGTTGTAAATGTTTTCATTTCTGATAAAAGAAAAAAATATACAACAACCCTTGTTGAGTCCCTTAACTACTTAGCTACTGTGTGCGTATGTTTCGTTGCCTGGCAACCTATCTTTTGATTTTATTTTCAGATGATTGGTGTTGGTACTGAGTTTATTGATCTTACAAAATATCAGCATAAATTCTGTAGTTTGATTGGCCAAGATGCAGAAAGCTGGGGTTTATCCTACACCGGGACAACGCAACATCGTAATCAGAAACGCAGATACGCGAGTAAATTCGGACAAGGTTCGATTATTGGAGCTCATCTGGATATGTGGAGAGGAACCCTGACTTTTTATAAAAATAGAAAACCATTAGGTACTGTCATAATTTGGTTTATGAAAGTTAGGAGGAACAGAATCAATCCGATTAAAATACAGATCTGACCAGTTGTAGTGGGAGGTTGCGTCAGGGGTCACAATTTGGTTTATGAAAGTTAGGAGGAACAGAATCAATCTGATTCAAATAAACATCTATATTTTGTATCTTATTTTTTATACTTTCCATGGCCTCTACTACATGACGCAATCTGTTTCACAGAGAATCACAAGTCTAGTAATATATCTCTGTCAAAGATGACTGCCTTAACACGTGCCGTCACAGCACGCGGCGTCAATCATTGGCTGAATGGCGCGTGCATTGTTTACATAATACGTTACTGCTTCGGAGAGAATGCTGCATTTTAGTCATTTTAATACCCATTTACACTAAATAGGAAATAATTTTTACCTACAAATACGTCAAACGCCTTTATTTATTTTTCCAATACATAAAAAAAAATGTTTTAGAATTTAATTTGTCGCAGGAAAAAAGTTAATATTACTGGCTCATTAAGCCGCATCGATGTCATCCTTATCAGTGATTGTAGCGGCCTAGCAAATATTCACTGCGGATCAGTGTGTACATGACGATCTGACCAGTTGTAGTGCGAGGTTGCGTCAGGGGTCATATAAGCGGATTTTGACCCTATGAAGTCAGACTTTTGATTAACTAATCAGCGTTGATGTTTCTACTGGGAAACCCGCAGTTCCGTGCATTGCACGTCAAGAACTCGCCGTAACAGACTGTTTGATTGGCTAATCCTTCACATCAATCAAAACACAGGTTATATAACAACTCTTCCAGATACTAGTGTAGTAAAGACAAGTATATTTTAACGAAATTTTGAACTATAAAAAACGTAACGAAATAGGATCTGTGAATGGATCCATTCATTATATCGACTGTTTTCATGTGTAGCGTATACCAGTTTACAAGGAAAGGTTTTATATCTACTCTTTGATCTGTTTACAGGTGTAGCATATACCAGGTTTTTATATCTACTCTTTGATCTTTTTACAGGTGTGGCGTATACAGGTTTACAAGGGAAAGTTTTATATCCAATGGTGTCATCAACAGCAGCAAGAAGTGGTATGAAAGTCATCACCAGTCGTTCGTTCAAAACATCGTTACAATTTATGTGTTGTCAGACTCTTCGCAAAATAGTTCCGCATCATATGAGTGTGTTGGATGTCGTCCGACTTCCTCCGGGTCTCCGCGGTTTCTTGTGTAATAATATCAGTTGGCTGTTACAACCCTGTGCCGATGGCGATACAAGCAGTTGCCATGGAAACAAACGTAAAAGACAATCGGAATCAGATGCAAGGGATGATTACGATGGTTGTAAAAAGATGAAAAGTTAACGTTTGAATTTGTTTTATAAATTGGAAAACCTGCGGATTCGTTTTACATGTTTTGAACAAGTACTGAATGATGGTCTAAAGATAAAAATCTATAATTTTTTTTTTTTTCTTTTTTATATTTTATAAGATTTAGAAATATAAAAAATAAGAAATATGATTAGCATGCTGTATTTTAATTTTTACAGAACGTTGAGCACATCAGTCGTAAAGTTTTATTTTGTAATCTACCATATCATATAGTACTCTTACCTGTTACATGATAAATTGTGAAACTTTGAGCTCAGCTTTGTTATAGCTTTGTTCATGTGCAGGGTTGGCCGAATGGTTAGCGTGTGCGCATTGTATCATAAGGTCTATCATTGAGTCAAGTGACATTGTTTTGATTCCCCGGTTGTACATGACAATGAGTAGAGTCGCCTGTCCAACCTCGTGGGTTTTTCCCAGGTCTTCCGGTTCCTCCCACTGCTAAAGACCCCTTTGTTCAAGCAGATTATTGAAATAAAATTGAATCATATGTTAGTCCCGAAATGACCTAGTTTGTGTCGAGTGGACGTTAAACCCCATTTCTCCCTCTCTCTTTGTTCATGTCTTTTTTAACTATGAATTAAAATCTGTGGAAAGGATTTTTAAAATCTATCCTTTGTAAATATATTTTAAGAAAGAAATAAATGTTGTTTTTGTTCTGCCTACTTGAGAACTTTATGATAATATGAATGTGTTAAAAGTCACCAGAAAAGCTTCATCTGTGGAAAGGATTTTTAAAATCTATCCTTTGTAAATATATTTTAAGAAAGAAATAAATGTTGTTTTTGTTCTGCCTACTTGAGAACTTTATGATAATATGAATGTGTTAAAGGTCACCGGAAAAGCTTCATAATTTTTTTTAAATAATGCAAATAATTATGTCAACATATTCTTTCCATCAGTATAACACGATCCCGAATGTCAATATTACCTGTCACAGGTAAATTTAAATGTTAGTGATTGCTGGCCTTCTACGTGAGTAGTCAGAACTTGTCAATAAACAATCACTGACGTAATTTCGGTCCTGCTGATCATAGAGATATAAACTAGAATATGAGCAGGCAGACTAAAATTCCGTCACAGATTGTTTATGGACGAAAAGTTACGAAACTCACGGAGAAAGGTGGCAGCAATCGCTAATGTTGAAATTTACCTGTGGCAGGTAACATTGACATTCGGGATAATTAATTGCATTATTTAAAAAATTATGAAGCTTTTCCGGTGACCTTTAATTTTTTTCAATGATTATCATTGGATAATTGTTAAAGCAACAAATTTTTGTAAATATCATTTTTATTGTTATTTTTCACGTGTTAATTGGTGATTTTAAAAAATTGTATATGTTCAGTCGATTCCATTCAAACTTGATTGCAAAAAATTTTGTTCTGCAGTTGACTTTGTAACCGAATAAATGTTTGACATATATATTGGCATACATAAGTTTTCTCGTAATATAAACCAGTAATTCATTTACGCAAAATGATGACAGCTACGCCAATGACTTCAGTTTGCAATCTGATTAAAACACAGATCATATTTCATTTCGTTTTTTTATAGTTCAAAATTGCCTTTTATTTGTCTGTACTACACTAGGATCTGGAAGAGTTGTTATATAACCCGCGTTCTGGATAGCGTGAGGGATTAGCGAATGAAACCACCTGTTACTGCAACTTCTTGGCGTGCCATGGACGTAACTGTAGGAATACCACTAGAAACGTCAACGCTGATTGATTAATCTATGAGGGATGTTATAGGGTCAAAAGTCGCTCGTACGACCAGACACGACCTCCCAGTATAACTGGTCAGATCTTCATGTAGTGTAGACCATCGAAAGTATAAAAAACGAAACGAAATATAGATCTGTATTTAAATCAGATTGTCTCTGGGTGTGTATTGTAAATGTTTTTGAATCAATTTTAAAGATGAAAGATAATGATATTATATGTTATTATATTGTTTTATTGTGTATTATTATTATTATGTATTCACAAATAATTTTATATGCATAAATATTATTATTATGTAACAAATTTAATGTCATGAGATGTATCATCTTCACAGAGTCGAGGTGAACAGTGCCACATTAACCCTTAACCGGTCGACGTCATTTTGACGTCATGACGTCAAGTGGTCAGGCTAAATAAAGGCTGACGTGAAACATTTTGTATGGCTATTTTAATAGAATACTGCCGGATAATTATTAGTGATAGACTCTTGATACCAATAAAAAAGTTGAAGGGGATAAGTTGATCTATAATTTGCAAATCATTCTAAATCATTTTCATCAGAAATATCGTCTTCAGAATCGGTGTCATTGATATAATCCGAGTCGGAATAATTCATAAGTATTTCAACCACTTTGAGCATCTTTAACCTTCCCGACATCGTTAAATTACGTTTTTCATCAAAAAATGTTAACAAAGACATGTTTTTCTCAATGCACTTGACAAGACAAGTTCCTGACCGGTTAAGGGTTAAAGGTCACCAGAAAAGCTTCATAGATGTTTTAAATAATGCAAGTATTTATGTCATCATATCCTTTTCATAAGTATAACACGATCCCAAATGTCAGTATTACCTGTAACAGGTAAATTTAAACGTTAGTCCGTTCTCTGTGAGTAGTCGTAACTTTTCGTCAATAAACAATTCATGACATCATTTTAGTCCTTCTGCTCACAGAAATATAGACTAGAATATGAGCAGAAGGACTAAAATGATGTCACAGATTGTTTATTGATGGAAAGTTACGACTGCTCACGGAGAATGGCGAATGTTCCTAACGTTGAAATTTACTTGTGGCAGGTAACATTGACATTCAGGTTCGTGTCATACTTAGGGAAAAGATATATATATGTTGACATAATTACTTGCATTATTTTCTGATGGCCTTTAATATTAATATGTAACACATTTAATATTATGAGAGAAGGGGGGGGTTGTATGGCCGAATGGTTAGCACGTGTGCGCTGTATCATAAGGTCTGTCATTGAGTCAACTGGCGTGGTTTTGATTCCCCGGTTGTATGTGACAAGGAGTAGAGTCGCCTGTCCAACCTCGCGGGTTTCCTCACACTGTTAAAGTAAAGACCCCTACGCGCAAGTGAATTATGGAAATAAAATTAAATCATATGTTAGTCCCGAAATGACCTAGTTTGTGTCGAGTGGTCAGTATACCCCATTTCTCTCATGAGATGTATCATCTTCTCAGCGTCAAGGTGTAATAGTCCTATATCATTATGTAGCAAAATTTAATATCACAATATATATCATCTGCATGGAGTCGTGGCGAAATAGTCCTACATTATTATATAACAAATTAAATATTATGAAATAAATCATCTACAGAGTCTTGGTGAAAACAGTCCAACATTTCAGGTTATATTTTATCTTGATCAAAAGTCGGTTTCTAATACGGATAGTTAAAGTTTAGACACACCCCTTCCATGACGTCATCTTCTTGAATGACATTTCAGATCATGTTATGTTTTACTTTGATCAAAAGTCGGTTTCTAACACGGATAGTGAAAGTTTAGACATGCCCCTCCCATGACATCATCTTCTTGAATACCAAATTTGACATTTGAACGTAATTATTACCATAGATAATGTTTATGATATCCTCTGGGTGTAGTATTCTTAACTTCATTCAATTTTATTCCCTGCTTGTACGTGACAAGGAGTAGGGATGCCTGTCCAATCTTGTGGGTTTTCTCCGGGTCCTCCGGTTTCCTCCCACTGCTAAACCCGCAAGCGAATTATTGAAATTAAATTGAACCATATGTTAGTCCCGAAATGACCTAGTTTGTGTTGCGTGGACGTTAAACCTCATTTCTCTTTCTCTTTCTTTATTTGAATCTTACATAATGCATCTTAAATGTTGAATGATAAAGAGGTATTAAAAGAATACTATGACAGGAGGATGGAGATATATTTCATATTGAAATAAATTTAACCCAGTATTGTTGGGATTAGGCCAAACCAGTTTGATTTTCAGTTCATTTAGGCCCTGGTTTCACAAAACATTCTCAGACTTACGTTAAAAATTTATTTACTCGGAATTGTTTGCCTTATTTGAACTCAGATATAGCCTTTCTATAAAACTTATGTTTTTATGTATTAAATACATCAATAAGAAACTATGTGTAAAGTTTTGTGTTTCTGGATAAAAGATATTGTCATAAACAGTGACTGAAAGTTGTGTAAATTTTTAACTTTCTTGTTTATGAATTAGTCTTTTGACCCAAGAACTGAAAAGAAGAATTTTGTCAGGTGTTCCTAAAAAACAGAATTTCAAATTGCTTTATCCTTATTGGAAAAGGTTGAGAGACTTTGACTAAGTTTTTCACGTTGAGGATATTAAAAACAAATTAAATATGTCCGCCATTTTGTTTTTTATTGTATATTTTATTGTTATTGGTGTTTTAATAAATCAGGGTTCTTATTCACAAAAACTTAAACATATATTATGCAAGAGCTAAATCTGCCTGTTGCAGGTCTTTCTTTAGGCTTGAAATGTTATCTAAATTATTAATTAGACATTAATTAACCTATCCAGATCATAATCAACTCTCGATGGCATCGCTAGCCTGCGATCTTTAGTGAATTGTGAGCGGATTTACTGCATAACTTTCCTTCATGATGTAATGATTAAATGGATAATCAAGACTATGCTGTTTATCGTACTGACTTTAGTAATGATGATCAAGGCTAGGCAGAAATTTCAATCGCTTAATTCTCGGTTCATAGTGGATCAATTTGAATGAAATTTTCAGCATATTCCCTTTACATAACCTAGTTTTTAAGTATTATAGTGAGAACTGCTAGCTCTTTATCTAATCTCCCATAATGTATCTTTAAGTCTGAGAATGCTTTGTGAACTCGGGGTTGGATCTTTATTAATACTTCTTGTTTATGGATTAGTCTTTTGCCCCAAGAAATGAGATGAAGAATTTTATCAGGTGATCCTGAAAAATAGAAATTTAAATTGGTTTGGTCTTTATGGAAAGGGTTGAGAGACCTTGACTAAGTTTTTCACCTTAAGGATATTAAAAACAAATTAAATATGTCCGCCATTTTTTTATTATTGTATATTTTATTGTTATTGGTGTTTTAATAAATCAGGGTTCTTTTTCCCGAAAACTTAATCCTTAATATTTTAAGAATTTTAGCTCTCAACTAATGAATTGTTTCAATGGCATTTAGTAATTGAACTGGAATACACAGGTCACAATTCTATGGAATACAATTACTGAGCAACGTTTTGACTAGGCTTCTCTAGTCATTATCAAGCAAAACTTCAGCTAAAATATTTTATGAATTTTAGCTTTCAAGTAATTAAATATGGTTGCAGCCTTAAAGATACCTTATGTAAGATTTAGATAAAAAGCTGATCGTTCTTGCTATAATAGTTTTAAAATATAGATAATGCAAAATGAATCTATTGAAATTTTAATTCAAATTACTTTATTCTGAGTGAAGTTAGCACTGTTTGAAGGGTTAACAGGATGTGGCATAGATTGTTTATTATCATAGCTACGGTACACTTGTTAACCGAAACTAAGCCTTGATTCACCTTTTTTTTGATTAAATCATTAAATGCAAATCGCATTTGAATCCATTTAAATCTCTGCAATCTGATGGTTTAGAGAGTTGATTTATCTCTACAATCTGAAGTTCTAGAGAGTTGATTTATCTCTGCAATCTGATGGTCTAGAGAGTTGATTTATCTCTACAATCTGATGTTCTAGAGAGTTGATTTATCTCTACAATCTGATGATCTAGAGAGTTGATTTATCTCTGCAATCTGATGGTCTAGAGAGTTGGTTTAAATCTCTACAATCTGATGATTGATTTAAATCTCTGCAATCTGGTGGTCTAGAGAGTTGATTTAAATCTCTGCAATCTGGTGGTCTAGAGAGTTGGTTTAAATCTCTGCAATCTGGTGGTCTAGAGAGTTGATTTAAATCTCTGCAATCTGATGAGCTAGAGAGTTGATTTAAATCTGTTACTGAAGGGGGGTGGGGTGGATGGCCGAATGGTTAGCATGCGCGCGCTGTATCATAAGGCCTGTCATTGAGTCAACTGACATGGTTTCGAATCCCCGGTTGTACGTGACAAGGAGTAGGGTTGCCAGTCCAACCTCGAGGGTTTTCTCCGTGTCCTCCGGTTTTCTCCCACTGCTAAAGACCCCTACGCACAAGCGAATTATTGAAATAAAATTGAACCATGTGTTAGTCCCGAAATGACCTAGTTTGTGTCGAGTGGACGTTAAACCCTATTTCTCTCTCTCTCTCTCTGCAATCTGATGATCTAGAGAGTTGATTATAAGCTTGTCATGTTGATAAATGTCTAAATAAGAATTTATATAAAATTTGAAGCCAAAATAAAGATTTGAAATCAGCAGATTTAGTTCTTACATAATGCATCCTTAAAATATTCTAGTTTTAAGTTTTCGTGAATGAGGCCCAAGATTCTGAGATGTAAAATGTCATAATATATCGGGTACACGTTTGTATATCGGGTACACGTTTGTATATCGGATACACGTTTGTATATCGGGTACACATTTGTATATCGGGTACACATTTGTATATCGGGTACACGTTTGTATAATGGAGAAATTATTGTTTTATTATTACTTGTAAATAAATTTAAAAAGCTACGAAACCAAATATTTGTAAATATATTGTAATTGTAACAACTGATTCTTCTTATCTGTGGGGGGATGGGAACATCGTTCACTTGTTGTCTGTGGGGGGATGGGGATATCGTTCACTTGTCTGTGGAGGGATGAGGTTATTGTTTATTTGTTGTCTATGGGGGGATGGGAATATCGTTCACTTGTCTGTGGGGGGATGGGAATATTGTTCACTTGTTGTCTGTGGAGGGGGATTAGATGGCCTGATGGTTACCGCGAGCACGTTGTATCATAAGGTCTGTCATTGAGTCAACTGGCATGGTTTCAGTTCCTCGGTTTTACATGACAAGGAGTAGGATCGCCTGTCCAACCTCTTGGGTTTTCTCCAAGTCCTCCAGTTTCCTCCCACTGCTAAAGACCCCTACGCGGAAGCAAATTATTGAATTAAAATTGAACCATATGTTAGTCCCGAAATGACTTCATTCTGGGCAAAGATATTAGCCTTTGAACGTTTGACAAGATGTGTGCACTGATTGTAACCACCGTACTGGTTGTTCGAGGCTTAGCCTTGCTTCACCATTTTTATGGTCGTATATTGTCGTCGCCCCCGCCCGTCCGTCCGTCGTCCACAATTGCTTGTGGACACTCTAGAGGCTAAAGTTAATATCTGATTGACTTTAAATTTATACACAGTGTTTAAGGTCATGAGACGAAGATTCCTATTGATTTTCAACAATTTCCGATAATTACTGCCAAAGTTATGGCCCTTAAGTTATCATCCGATTGAGTTCAGTTTAAGATCTTGAGACAAACAAGTATATTGATTTTCAATGAATTTTTATGACTTGAACAGATAAATCCATGACATTAAAAGCTTTGCATACGAAACGTTAGCATGGGGCAGAAATTTATAAAAACCAAACAAATTCTAATAGTTTTCTGATAATTACTTCGTGAGTTGTTGCTCTTAATCAGATTTTAGTGTATTATAAATGTTTCATTACCGAAAAAAGTAAAATTATGCGACAACCCTTGATGACTGCCCGGACGATTTAGTTGCTGTGGGCGTATGTTTCGTTGCCTGGCAACCTATCTTTAAATTAAATATAAATGGCCAAACCATTCTAATCTACTAAAAATCGGACCCATCTGATGGCATCTAGTTGATTATGGTCTTGTCATGTTAACAATTGTCTAATTAATATTTTATATAAAATTTTAGGTCTAAAGAAAGACCTGCAATAAGCAGATTTAGCTCTTGTATAATGTCTCACCCTTTCATACCCATGAGATATTATAATCAATAAACGATATCAATATATTACTCAATGTCTCACCTGTCCTACCCGTGGGATATTTTAATCAATAAACTATGTAGGCCTACTTATTGACATCATTTAAGTACAAGTGTAATGATATAATAAATAAACCAGGTCATTCATACTGTCCATGTGTCGTTTCATGGTCGAGAGTGTAGGCCTAAGAATGACATTTACAGATACCAAAAATTAAATGATGAATTCCAAATATTCAATGGTTTTTGTATCAAGCGCGAATTGCCATTAGCAATTTTGTGAGAATTATTAAATCTTTTCCATATGTCACAAAATGTTTTTGAATAACAATTTAGTTAATTTTCAGATGCGAAATATGAATGCTGCCTTTTAATTCATATATATCTTTAAAGTTTGAATTATAACTGAGGTCCTTATGGACCCCATGATACCTGCTATGTGATTTTCACAACGTGCACCCAGAAGGGTTAAAAATGACTGATTAAATCTTAGCAAAATATTTAACATTCCAAGTTTCCTCCGGTTTCCTCAGCCAATTATTGAAATATGTATATATCGCAAAATGACCTATTGTTGACGTACGGGGTTGGATGGCTAAATGGTTAGCATGTGCGCGCTGTATCATAAGGCTTATCATTGAGTCAACCGGCATGGTTTCGATTCCCTGGCTGTACGTGACAAGGAGTAGGTTCGCCTGTCCAACCTTGTGTGTTTTCTCCGGGTCCCGAAATGACCTGGTTTGTGTCGAATGGACGTTAAACCCCATTTCTCTCTCTCTCTCTCCTATTATTGTTGACTATTGTTGAGTTATTATAAAACATTCCCAGCTGAACTTCAGCTGAAATATAAATTATATATTTTTTTATGGAATAAGCACAATAAAATATGATTCTTTTGCACAGAATTTTTTTTACAAAAGTGTGCACCAGGGATATGGGGAAAATGGTCCACGTCTGGTGGGGGGACATACGGAGAGATTAAGGTGAGGGTTAAAAGTGGCTGGATAATCTGACAGGTCTAAGGGGAGATAACTGTAAATAAGACTACGATAATCGAGTCTAGCCTGGAGGGGATTTGTTTTCGTAAGAAAATCGAATGAATGAATGGGTTTGTTTAGGTTGAATGACCGACATAACGGTGATGATCGTCAGTCACATGTAGATAAAATAACTATTGAGTATTGTACTAAGATCACGTGCAGGCGGATCTAGCAAGGGGCAATAAGTAGAACGCTTTGTCTTCTTCAGTTGATAATGATGGATGGTTATAAAATTGTTATCAATAATGATTACCATCCTTAGTTTTATTAGTTGAGAGTGGGGGGAATGATGTGTATTATATTTTTATGTAGAATTTAGAAAGTGAAATCTCAAATCAACATCAGTATTAGTAGGTCTTGTCAGTTGAAGGGTGACAGAAAATAGAATTGATTGATGTGAAGATTGAATCCCTACAATAATCAAGCTTAGTAATTTCTGAGTCTGGAACAAAACTTTCTACTTTGAGTTTAAAAAAAGGTACCGGTATACATTTTTTTCTTTTATATTTTTTTACAAAAAATCTCCTAAAATTACATTGCCATTACTCAGAAGAAACTGGCTATGGCTATTGTCGTTAAACAAAACACATTATGGGAGATTAATGATTGGTTTATTCTAATAATAGAACGACGTTTCATCGTTTCGACAAGTATTCTCTGCATTGTTGGCTGATCTGACTATTTTTTTAGGCGGCCCTTTTTTCACAAAGATGATATCATAAATGGAAAATATCTTTGTATAAACAATGGTTTAATGCTGGTGGTGTGTGAGAATGAGGAAGGGAGCCTAGAGATTAAACCCTAATCCATAATCCACATGAAAGAGAAGAGAGAGAGAAATGGGGTATAACGTCCACTCGACACAAATTAGGTCATTTCGGGACTAACATGGTTTTAATTTTATTTCAATAATTCACTTGCGCGTAGGGGTCTTTAGCAGTGGGAGGAAACTGTCCAGGACCCGGTGAAAACCCACGAGGTTGGACAAGCAACCCTAATTCTTGTCACGTACAACCGGGGATTCAAAACCATGCCAGTTGACTCAATGGCAGGCCTTATGATACAGCACGCAGGTGCTAACCATTTGGCCATCCCCCCCCCCCCCCACATAAAAGAGAAGAAAAACAGAAATGAAAAGATGAATGAAAAAAGTAGTCAGATCAACCAACAGCGCTGTATTCTCTTATGATTACCAAGAGTTTTTGAAAAGTAGTGCTAATCGAATAAACTGGGGATTGATATCCCACAAAAATTGTGTTTTGTTTAACGTGTTCTTTAAACGCTAAATGCCACTTAATTATTAGGCATTTTCTAATTGTTTACCCTATTTTAGTAGGGATGTCACAATCGGAACAAAATTTGGTGTCGGGTTGTTTTTGAGGCAAAATTTGTCACTGAAGACGATTATGAGATTTTTTTACTTCTGTGACGTCATTTTCGGTTGGGGTTTTTCTGATTTCCAAAATGGCCGCCAGAATTTGACGAAAAATTAATTTCCAGATAGTATGGGTGATTATCACGCAAGGTATGGCTTGTAATATATCATATATAAGATTTTTTAGTAATTGAACTGAAAAAATAATCTCTAAAACTAGTTTCCCCAAATCCAAGATGGCGGAAATTCAAAATGGCGGCCAAAATTTACCTAAAATGGCTGATTTGTCAGATAAAAGTCATTTCACTCTTTGATATGATTTATAATATGTAATTTAAAGGATTTTCAGTGTCACTAAACTTAAAATTAATCTAAATATAACGGGGTTCCAAAATCCAAGATGGCGGAAATTCAAAATGGCGGCCAGAATTTCCCTAAAATGGTCGATTTTTCGGATAATCGTCATTTGTAAGTTTGATATAGCTACCATCTTATGGAGACATAATGTGTGGTGCATTTACGGTCTTATAAAGCTCTATTCTTACATAAAGAATTCTTGATTCGCACGGAAGTGTTTTAGCCGTGATCATTTTAAGTCATGCTTATGCCAAGATCTGGGTAAGTGTTAATTTAACTAGATATCAGAAAAGTACCACGTTTTCATAAATGTACTCTTTAGATAAATTGTACAATATTTATCAGTTCACTAGTTACGTGTTGACCTTTAACATCACACTTAGATCCTGTACGCTTTGTGTCTTACAGTCAATACATGTCATGAAGAACTCTTTAGACATAATTTCGTTTATAATACTTTACTCGTTTCTATTGAGTTGTTTAGCAGAAGTAACCCATGACAACAATATGTTGAGACGACTACGTAACAGAATAGGACGATTCAATGTTATTAAAATGACACAATGACAATTTTAATTTTATTACCAACCCTTTCACAATATTTGAATGAAATATCTCACACAGGGTGTTAATCTGTTTTCAGTTTCTATTCCAATTCAATAAAACATTTAAAACATTTAATACATGTCTTGGCTTGATTCATTATTTACAATTTAATACGTTAATCGTGTATTTGCACGACTCTGACTTTGAATGTTACAGTCATTGTGGCATTGAATTCCAGGGTGGAAACATCAGTTTAATTGTTTTAGTGACCAGAAAACAAATTTTGATATGCGTCGGCTTACCCAAAATGAAAGGTAACGTGCCCTTGGCAAGCTACAGATCGGCACAACACAGGCGGTTGTGGCGCGGACGATGAATGTTTCTCAGTCTGTCATAAGCAGTCTATGGTCCAGATACCGTGATACACAATCTGTACAGGACAGACCATGCTCAGGTCGACCAAGGGCGACAACTCAAGCCCAGGATCGATTTATCCGTACCTTGGCCTTGAGAAATCGTGTCATCACAGCAAATCAGATCAGCGCTCGTCTTCAAACAGACACTGGTGTGAGAGTGAGTGGCCAGACGATTCGGAATCGACTGCATAGGGCTCACCTTCGCGCCCGACGTCCTCGCGTGATCCCTTGTTTGAGAGATCATCACATTCAGGCAAGACGTCGTTGGTGTAGGGATCGTCAACACTGGGATAATCGACGCTGGAGCAATGTGATGTTTTCAGATGAGTCAAGGTTCACTGTTGATTTTTTGGACAGACGTAGGAGGGTGTGGCGTCGTCGAAACGAGCGCTTCCAAGACGTTAACGTCATCAGACATGATCGATTTGGGGGTGGTTCTGTTATGGTGTGGGGAGGCATCACTGTTGCTGGAAGAACGGCTTTACATGTTGTTGCAGGGCGTGTTACAGGCCAGTACTACCGGGACAACATCTTGGCAGTCCATGTTGTGCCGTTCGCACGACGTCATGGCCGCCGTTTCATCTTCCAGGATGACAACGCAAGATGTCACAGGGCCAGGATCGTTACAGGTTACCTCCAACAACAGAACATCACCACATTACCTTGGCCAGCACTGAGTCCCGACCTCTCCCCCATCGAGCATGTCTGGGACATGTTTGGACAGAGGTTACGTCAACGTCAACAACGTCCTGCCAATGTCCAAGAACTTGCTGTTGCGTTGCAACAGGAATGGGACAATCTGGACCAAAATGACCTTAGACGTCTCATTAGGAGTATGCCACGTCGGATCAATGCTTGTTTGGCAAACAGAGGAGGATTTACCCGTTACTGACTTGGTTGTGATGCTGTGGTAACTTTGCTGTTTGACCCCAGGTATCATTTTACCCTTATAATGGTCAGTCTGTGCCTTACTTAGTCTAACGATCATTTGGAATAAATCGATGAATGTGAACTTCATTTCATTTTGTCATTTATTTCTTCGTCAGTTTCATTAGGTGACTTTAATAACACTTAAAAATCAAATATCCCCTACTTTTTTTGAATAGTATATATTATAAACAGATATGCTATGACCAGCGTTGTCATTATCTTTATTATTCGACTGGAAAACTCCTGTCATTCACTCTGTCGTTCGACTGATCCATCATTCACGTTGTCATTTCCGAGTCTGAAATTTGGGGTATAGGGGTAGCTCATACCGGGGAGTAACATAGGCCAGGTGGCGTTAGTCTACCACTTCCGGTTTCGGAGTTATGACCCCCGAGCGAAGCCGGGCATTCTTCTAGTATATAAATAAATATATAAATAAATCATCTTCATGTTCATCATCATGGTCATCATCATCGTCATCATCACTATTTAACACCAATCATCGTCGCCTGACAATTACCTTATCTATTCAAAGCGCTTGTTTAGTTTTAAATACTTGTGAACTTTAATAAAACTCACTTTGTTGAACGGGTTACTTTCGTTGGTATCGCCATATAGGAACGCTTTTGTATTTATGGATTTAAATGGGAGGGTATTTAATGTTGAGATACGCTGAGACGAATAATTTGGGCAGTGCAGAAAATAATGGTCGCTGTCTTCTTGAGTATGACCACAACTGCATGTCGAGTTATGTGAAATATGCATTAAAAATCTATGGAAGTTTAGAGCACTTTTACAATTACGAAGTCTGGAATGTATAATCTGAAATTTACGTTCTCCATAGTAACATCTTACTGACATCAATAAATACAAAAATATAAAATGGCTGATTTGTCAGATAAAAGTCATTTCACTCTTTGATATGATTTATAATATGTAATTTAAAGGATTTTCAGTGTCACTAAACTTAAAATTAATCTAAATATAACGGGGTTCCAAAATCCAAGATGGCGGAAATTCAAAATGGCGGCCAGAATTTCCCTAAAATGGTTGATTTTTCGGATAATTGTCATTTTTAAGTTTGATATGGCGAGTGATATGCGATTTAAAGGGTTTTCTGTGTCAATCAACAACCTCAAAAGAAGCGTTTCCAAAATCCAAAATGGCGACCAGAATTTCCTAAAATGAACGATTTTTCAGATAATCGTCATTTTTTCGGTTTTGTATGGCTTGTAATAATGTCCTTTATTAGGTTTTCAAAGTCCACGAATTTGAAAATAACCTCAAAAATGAATTTTGAAAATGAATATTACCTCAAAAATGAATTTTGAAAATGAATATTACATCAAAAATGAATTTTGAAGATGGTAGATGATTGATTAAAAATACAACAGGACAATCGTGAATTTTCCTATGGGATTGGCTCGTAATAGCAAAGAGTAGTAGTTATTTTGATGGTAACTGGAACTGTTATACTGGATCTCACATAAACAAGATTTAATATTATTCCAGCAAAACAGTGAGGTATATATATCCAGTTGTTAAGAATTTATCTATTGTTTATTCAGAAATGGTTCGAAATAGTGGTTCAGTGAGTAAGACTCGCTAAGAACGAGATCTGGGGTTCGATCCCTATGTTTGCTGAAAAAGTACCTTAGGATTTTCCAGTGTGGTTTCTCCTTGTCAGGATGCAGCACCGGGGGCTTCTCGAGAAACCAGGTTTATATGTACACGTTGACGTGCGCATACAAGAACCCTAGACAGTTGGAATTCGAAATAAGAGTACACCATAGTACCACTGTCTGGGCCAATTTTCCTCATAGCACACTGCTTGACGAATATCAATATTTATTAACTTTTGTTCAGAAGACTTATGTCCGGAAACCGTTTGTGGTATCATCTAGACAGATGAATTCATATTTGTCAGTCATGTATTTCATAAAGTGAAAAGTGTAAAATGAATCATCGAAGTCTCTGTGTCCGCAACTTGTGTGGTATGGTATCCACAGATCATATTCGTCTGTAATGTAATGCACACCAAGTTCTAAGTTAAAAATAATCATCACGAAAATAATTGGAAATGCATTTACGACTAGGTATCCCAAAAGTCATCCCCCACGATTTCCTCTTTTCTTATGTGTTGTTCTTACATGTAGAACTTGTTGTGAAATACGTAACTGACGAAAATGACCTGTGGATACAACATCTAGACTATACCACAAAAGTTACTGGACACGGAGTCTTCGATGCAAAAACGGACCACATTACCATTTCTGAACGAATAGGAGAACTTAAATTCTTAACGACTGGATATACCACAAATGATTCTCACTCCGGTAAAATGGTGCAAAGACAAAGGAGATGAAATTAAAAATGCGTCAGTTGGCCCCGTTGTATTGTTATGGGGGTTTTATGCATAAAAACAATTAAGCTACATTTATTGTGTCTTAAGGTTAAATTCTTTGAAATTCTAATTAGCTGACTGGTAAGTTCTGCACATGGTTTATTTATTGACAGGTAGATTCCTGGGTCAGGTCAAATTAAGTTGCCCTTAAAAAAGTATTACAATTTGCTATTATAAACCAATCCAAGAGAAAGATTGATGATTGTCCCTTTTTTTTCTGAAACAATCATCTTCAATTATCAAATTCAGAGAGAAAGAGAGAGAAATGGGGTTTAACGTCCACTCGGCACAAACTAGGTCATTTCGGGACTAACATATGGTTTAATTTTATTTACATAATTGGCTTGTGCGTAGGGGTCTTTAGCAGTGGGAGGAAACCAGAGGACCCGGAGAAAACCCACGAGGTTGGACTAGCGACCCTACTCCTTGCCACGTACAACCGGGGATTCAAAATCACGCCAGTCGACTCAATGACAGACTTTATGATACAGCACGCGCATGCTAACCATTCAGCCATCCAACCCCCCTATCAAATTCAGTGACTCTGAAAACTTAATAGAGGACATATTACAAGCCATATCAAAATAGAAAATTGACGATTATCTTAAAAATTGATCAATTTAGAGAAAATCTGGCCGCCATTTTTTTAATTTCCGCCATCTTGGATTTTGGAAACTCTATTTTAGATTGATTTTAAGTTCAATGACATTGAAAACCCTTTAAATTACATGTTACAAACCATATCAAAGAGTGAAATGACTTTTATCTGACAAATCGGCCATTTTAGATAAATTTTGGTTGACATTTTGAATTTCCGCCATCTTGGATTTTGAAAACTCTTTTTTTCTTTAGATTAAGGTAGATTCCTGGGTCAGATCAAATTCAGTTGCCCTAAAAAAACTATTACAATTTGCTATTATAAACCAATCCAATAGAAAGATTAGTGATTGTCCCTTTTTTTCTGAAACAATCATCTACAATTATCAAATTCAGTGACTCTGAAAACTTAATAGAGGACATATTACAAGCCATATCAAACAGAAAATTGACAATTATCTTAAAAATTGACCAATTTAGAGAAAATCTGGCCGCCATTTTTTAATTTCCGCCATCTTGGATTTTGGAAACTCTATTTTAGATTGATTTTAAGTTCAATGACATTCAAAACCCTTTAAATTACGTATTACAAACCATATCAAAGAGTGAAATGACTTTTATCTGACAAATCGGCCATTTTAGATAAATTTTGGTCGACATTTTGAATTTCCGCCATCTTGGATTTTGAAAACTCTTTTTTTCTTTAGATTAAGGTAGATTCCTGGGTCAGATCAAATTCAGTTGCCCTAAAAAAACTATTACAATTTGCTATTATAAACCAATCCAATAGAAAGATTAGTGATTGTCCCTTTTTTTCTGAAACAATCATCTACAATTATCAAATTCAGTGACTCTGAAAACTTAATAGAGGACATATTACAAGCCATATCAAACAGAAAATTGACAATTATCTTAAAAATTGACCAATTTAGAGAAAATCTGGCCGCCATTTTTTAATTTCCGCCATCTTGGATTTTGGAAACTCTATTTTAGATTGATTTTAAGTTCAATGACATTCAAAACCCTTTAAATTACGTATTACAAACCATATCAAAGAGTGAAATGACTTTTATCTGACAAATCGGCCATTTTAGATAAATTTTGGTCGACATTTTGAATTTCCGCCATCTTGGATTTTGAAAACTCTTTTTTTCTTTAGATTAAGGTAGATTCCTGGGTCAGATCAAATTCAGTTGCCCTAAAAAAACTATTACAATTTGCTATTATAAACCAATCCAATAGAAAGATTAGTGATTGTCCCTTTTTTTCTGAAACAATCATCTACAATTATCAAATTCAGTGACTCTGAAAACTTAATAGAGGACATATTACAAGCCATATCAAACAGAAAATTGACAATTATCTTAAAAATTGACCAATTTAGAGAAAATCTGGCCGCCATTTTTTAATTTCCGCCATCTTGGATTTTGGAAACTCTATTTTAGATTGATTTTAAGTTCAATGACATTCAAAACCCTTTAAATTACGTATTACAAACCATATCAAAGAGTGAAATGACTTTTATCTGACAAATCGGCCATTTTAGATAAATTTTGGTCGACATTTTGAATTTCCGCCATCTTTTTTTCTTTAGATTAATTTTAAGTTCAGTGACAGTGAAAACCCTTTAGATTACATATTACAAACCAAATCAAACTGTGAAATGACTTTAATCTGACAAATCGGCCATTTTAGGTAAATTTTAGCCGCCATTTTGAATTTCCGCCATCTTGGATTTGGGGAAACTAGTTTTAGAGATTATTTTTCAGTTCAATTACAACAAAAGCCTTATATATGATATATTACAAGCCATACCTTGCATGAAAATCACCCATCCTATCTGGAAATTCATTTTACGTCAACTTTTGGCGGCCATTTTGGAAATCAGACAAACCCCAACCGAAAATGACGTCATAGATAAAAAAAAATTCTAAAAATCGTGTTCAGCTAGCAATTTCGCCTCTGGAAATTGCTGGCCTGAAATGATTTGTAAAAAAAATGTCTTATTGTGACACCCCTAATTTTAGCAAGCCTTGATGTCCCTGATTCGATCCGGTTATTTATCGAGAAAGTTCATCAGGAATTTCCAATGTGTATTCCCTTGTCAGTGGTGCAGGATGGAGTGAGTAAGATGACAGCTCGATAATACTAGGTTCCCACTCTCGTGCGATGTGTTATAATAGGATTGTCCCTATTGAATCCACGATTTGGTACGTACAGATACATTCAGATACGTTTCGATACGATCCACACAATTGTTACGACTGATCACAATATACGATAAGACGTGATAGGATTACCACGATTAAAACCACGATTTCAATCGTAGCGCAAATCGTGATAATGGGAACCTAGCATTACCTGAAAAGCCTGGGTAGGATCCTGGTGCTGGGAAAGATGTTCAGGATTTTCTGGCATGGTTTCCACTTGTCAGTTGTGCAGAACTGATGACCTGGCAAGGAACAATGTCTAGTTGTCGGATGGGACAAAAAATAAAAAGGTCCTGGATACATCTTGGCATACGAGTAAAAAAAAACCCATGACAGTTGAAATTCAATTGTTGTCAATTTCATTCTTTCAGATCAGCTTACTACAAGATTAGTAATTTTGAAAGGTTTTTGTTTATCCTGACGTTTGTCAGATCAATGGTTTTATTATTTTCCCCTGCCTAGAATATGCTTTTGTTAAAGACGCATTATGTAAGATTTAAATAAAAGGCTGACTGTTCCTGCTATAATAATTCAAAAATAGATAATGTAAAATGAATATATTGAATCCAGGGACAATCAAATACAACTTAAACTTAACACCTTTGATTAGGGGGGCATTTACAACTAAACCAAGACAGCGGAAACTCTTACAGGCTTAAAGGGGGGGGGGGGGCTATTATTTATAAAGATCAATGCATTAACACTATTAAAATGAAATGAAATGGGGTTTAACGTCCTACTGTACTATTCTGCTCCTACTGGGCTAATGTACACATGACCTCGGTGATAAGATATCACCAATTATTTCCCATCTGCTGTACATGTATGTTTCTTATCAATCAAGTGTCAAAGTCCCTTCAGTTTAAGGTAGTCAATGACAACCCATGACGATACAGAATGTCAGAACAGGCAAATAAACTCACAGATAAAACCATTTAACTGATCAGTGTTTTATATCGTGATAATTTTTTTTATCATGCCGTCTGGCACATGTGTTTATATTGTTTATTTTTGGACCAGAACAGGGACCCAACCGCTACTCTTCTTTTTGTTGCTGCTCTTGTTTTTCTTGTTTTTCAGGGGGTTGGATGGCTGAATGGTTAGCGTGCATGCGCTGTATCATAAAGTCTGTCATTGAGTCGACTGGCGTGGTTTCGAATCCCCGGTTGTACGTGACAAGGAGTAGCGTCGCCTGTCCAACCTCGTGGGTTTTCTCCGGTTTCCTCCCACTGCTAAAGACCCCTACGCGCAAGCGAATTATTGAAATAAAATTAAACCATATGTTAGTCCCGAAATGACCTAGTTTGTGTCGAGTGGACGTTAAACCCCATTTCTCTCTCTCTCTCTCTCTTGTTTTTCAGCTTATTAAGGGCAACGATTCTCAACAAATTTAAGGATGAGCGACAAGAAATTTGCTATGCTTATTCCATGGACAAATCAGCATTGATTAGCATTCTTATAGATGGTAGTGATGACGATGCAATTCCATATGGTCGCAATGGCATCACAATTCCATATGGTGGCAATGACGTCACAATTCTAATATGGCAGCAATGACATCACAATTCCAAGATAGTGGCAATGACATTGTGCTCGGTTTCTGACCCACAGTACACTCATACTGGTTACAGAAGATTGATTTCATTTTTATAGGAATTTTATGTTTTTGTGTACATATGTGGCCAGGGATGTACTGTAGTTTTTGAAAATTTGTGTTGGGTTTTCCTCGTGTCATAGCACTTTGCATGACGTACATGTATGCCCATATTCATTAGCAGATTGGGTGGGTGTTGGTGGTCTAGTGGTTTAACGCGTGCACGTTGAATCATAAGATTGAGTCAAGTGGAGTGGTTTAGATTCCCTGCTTGTACGTGACAAGGAGTAGGATCGCCTGTCCAACCTTGTGGGGTTTTTCCGGGTTCTCAGGTTTCCCCCCACTGCTGCTAAAGACTCCTGCATGCAAGGAAATTATTGAAATAAAATTGAACCATATGTTTGTCCCAAAATGACCTAGTTTGTGTGGAATGGAAGTTAAACCCTCTCTCTCTCTCTCTCTCTCTCTCTCTCTCTGTTTCTGTCTCTCTCTCTCTCATTAGACCTGTTGATTCATTTATCATTTCTAAAGACAAGTTAATTGTTTATAATAATATTTTATTTGTAGACTTGAGCTGAGGCCACGTCCAACAGCAGTCGGGCCAGAACCAAATCGACCAAAAAAGATGGCTGCATCTAAAGGAAGACAGTTCTTGTTACTCTTATGGAAAAACTACTTAATACAAAAACGAAAAAAACTTTTAACATTTATCGAGATTGCCGTACCAGCTTTTTTTGCGATTCTATTAATCGTCATTCGACAGATTGTCCTGGCGACAGACTATCCCGACGTGACGACTTGGAATCATTGTGAAATTGATCAAATGCCATTTGGAATGTTACCTCGAAAACTAGCATTTTGTCCGGATAATGAAATCACAAACAGAATATTACAAAGTGCAAAAGAAAAACTTGATTTACAAGAAGGTAATTTGATTCTTTGTTTCTGATTTTTTTTTTGTGAATGAACAGAATTTCAGCAACTCAGTGAGTATGACACTGATTCAATAATCAGTCGGTTCTGGATTTGATTCACATGTTGGCCGCAAAAGGAGAGCTAAAGTTAAGCAGAGCTAAGCAATTTCATTGGTCGAGGCTTTGGGTCAAGTTAACTTTGATTCTATCTGATAGAGAGTGATGAAACTTAGTGTATAGTTGATAATCAGTTTGATTGCTTGATACTTTTGAATAAAATAAATGTGTTATTAATTAATATGTGTCATCTATTTATGTTGAGATTTCGGCAGGGGTCAGCAGCCTCACTGTTGGCTTTTTGTTTCAGTTATAGGTTTTGGCAGCGAAGAAGAAATGGTGGAATTCCTTATTTTTAGCAACGGCACCGTAGACAACCATAATTTATACATTGGTGGAATTGTGTTTGAAGATTCTTTTAAAGATGGCGGAAAGAATTTCACTGATAGTATAACTATGAAGATTCGACTCAGTGCCACGTCAAGAACATCTACAAAGAAACGAAACCCGTTTTCCGGCCAATCGAGTTGGAAGACAAGGTTAAATTTTCCCGTGTTTCAGAGAGTCGGGCCACGAGAGAAGAATGATTCTTGTGGAGGAGATCCAGGTAATTTTGAGACTGATATTTTTTTTATTTACTTTGGATTTGAATGTCATGGATGTTGAAGTTAATGTGACCTCACTGTAAATTTTTTGTACCATTGGTTCATGTGACATCTATCCATCAGTCATAGACCAGCTAGCTGTAATAGAGAGAGACGGAGAGACTGACAGACAGACGGAGACAGAGAGAGAGAGAGAGGTCCACTTGAAACAAACTAGGTCATTTTGGGACTAACATGGTTCAATTTTACTTCAATAATTCACCTGCGTGTAGGGGTCTTTAGCAGTGGGGGGTTGGATGGCCGAATGGTTAGCACGTGCGTGCCGTATCATAAGACCTGTCATTGAGTCAACTGGCGTGGTTTCGAATCCCCGGTTGTATGTGACATGGAGTAGGGTCACCTGTCCAACCTCGTGGGTTTTCTCCGGGTCCTCCGGTTTCCTCCCACTGCTAAAGACCCCTACGCGCAAGCGAATTATTGAAATGAAATTAAACCATATGTTAGTCCCGAAATGACCTAGATTGTGTCGAGTGGACGTTAAACCCCATTTCTATCTCTCTCTCTTTAGCAGTGGGAGGACCAGGACCTACTCCTTGTCACATACAACCAGGGAATCAAAACCACGTCAGTTGACTCAATGACAGAACTTATGATACAACCTGCACACGCTAACCATACGGCCATCCAACTCCCCAGCTAGCTATAAACTTAAAGATACATTATGGGAGATAAGATAACGAGATGGCAGTTCTCACTATAATAGTTAACAACTAGATAGTGTAAAGGTAATTTGCTGAAAATTTCAGTAAAATTGATCAACTATGAGCCGAGAACGAAACGGGTGAAATTTTCGCATAGTCTCGGTCATCATTACTAAAATCATTAATATAAACAGCATAGTCTCGATTATCCACTGTTTTTAAATAATTTTTAATGGTCGTTAAGCGGCATATAGGAATCTAATCCAGCCAACATCGAAGGCTAGCCTTGACATAGAGAGTTCATTATGGTCTGGATAAGTTAATTAATGTCTAATTAATAATTTAGATAACATTTCAGGCCTAAAGAAAGACTTATAATAAGCAGATTTTGCTATTGCATAATGCATGTTTAATTAGACATTAATTAACTTATCCAGATCATAATGCATGTTTAACCACACGAAGATATAGATCTATTAGATATTTGTGGGGTTTAATGGTCGAATGGTTTAACATGTGCGTTTTGGATCATAAGATCTGTCATTGAATCTTTTTAACTCACATTTTCATTTTGAAGCGAGAGCCTCAACCAGAATGTGTTCACTGTCATGTTCCTTTGACAGTAAATTTCAGTAAAATTGATCAACTATGAGCCGAGAACGAAGCGGGTGAAATTTTCGCATAGTCTCGGTCATCATTACTAAAATCATTAATATAAACAGCATAGTCTCGATTATCCACTGTTTTTATTTAATTATCAATGGTCGTTAAGCGGCATATAGGAATCTAATCCAGCCAACATCGAAGGCTAGCCTTGACATAGAGAGTTCATTATGGTCTGGATAAGTTAATTAATGTCTAATTAATAATTTAGATAACATTTCAGGCCTAAAGAAAGACTTATAATAAGCAGATTTTGCTATTGCATAATGCATGTTTAATTAGACATTAATTAACTTATCCAGACCATAATGCATGTTTAACCACACGAAGATATAGATCTATTAGATATTTGTGGGGTTTAATGGTCGAATGGTTTAACATGTGCGTTTTGGATCATAAGATCTGTCATTGAATCTTTTTAACTCACATTTTCATTTTGAAGCGAGAGCCTCAACCAGAATGTGTTCACTGTCATGTTCCTTTGACAGTAAAACACATCTTGATTGAGTGCAAACATCTCAAGTATATTAGATCTAAATACTACCATTGCCAGTCATTACATCAGCTATTTGCTTAACCGGAGCTATATGATAAAGTGTTAACATTTTTAAAAGAGACAAACTTTTATTCTCAATTTTAATTGTATATATTTAATCATGTATATCATTTTAAATATTTATATATGTAAAAGATTTGTTATATTTATTTTTAATTTTATATTTTCTGTGATATTTGTTTTTATTTACATATATAAATTCAATTATGTGATATTGTTTTAATTTGTCTCGTTAGATTCACCATATGTTTGGCGCAATATAGCCTGGTTGGAGCTGACATGCCATTAAACAACATTTCATTTCATTTCATTTCTGTCATTGATTCAAGTTGGCGTGGTTACAATTCTCAGCTTGTACGTGACAAGCCAATCTGATTAAAATACAGATCTATATTTCGTTTTGTTTTTTTTATACTTTCGATGGCCTACACTACATGAAGATCTGACAGGTTTTAGTGGAAGCTCACGTCAGAGGTCATACGTGAGACTTTTGACCCTGTAACATCAGACATTTGATTAACCAATCAGCATCGATGTTTCTAGCAGGTTACCCACAGTTCCGTGCACTACACGCCAAAAACTCACCGTTACAGACCGTTTCATTGGCTAATCCCTCACATTAACTAGAGCGCCTGTTATATAACAACTCTTCCAGATCCTGTAGTGAAGACAAGTAAAATGAAATTTTGAACTATAAAACAAAACGAAATAGGATCTGTGTTTTAACCAGATTGGTGACAAGGAATAGGGTTGCCTATCAGCCTCTTGTTTCCACTCACAGCTGGGATCACGTGGCTAAGTGGGTAAGACGCTGGCTCGCTAGCATGGAGGTCGGGTGTTCGATCCCTGCATTGGCCGAGAAAGTTCATCCCGATTTCCCGGCATGGTTTCCCCTTGTCAGTGATGCAGGACGGAGGGCCTGACAAGGACAGCTGTCTAGTCCTTCGGATGAGACGAAAAACCGAGGTCCCGTGTATACATTGGAATGCACGTAAAAGACCCCTTGGCAGTTGGAATTCGATATAAGAGTAGGTGATAGCGTCGCTGCCCGGGCAAAATTTCCCTCATAGCACACTGTATGGCGTATGCCGGTCTTCATTAGCCCAGTATAGAAGCAGAACAGTAGGACGTTAAACCCCATTTCATTTCATTTCCACTCACAGCTAAACCCCCTTACATGCGAGAAAATTATTGGAATAAAATGGAACCCTAGGTTAGTCCCGAAATGACCTTGTTCGTCCTATTATTTTCTTGAGTGTCTTTGTGTACAGACGTATTACTGGATTTTAATATTCACATGTACGTACATATGTAACTGTGTTTGTGAATAAAAAATTAAAAATGTCTATTTATGTCAGGATATATTTTAAATTTGTTGCAGGTTACTATCGAGAAGGGTTTTTATCAATCCAACAAGCTGTGAGTCGAGGGATCGTGGAGGTATTAGCCGTGAACGATAATCAGGAGGATTTGAACGATACTATTATTAGTTTAAAACGTCATCCGTATCCCCCGTATAATGATGATAACTTTGTTTTGGTTATTCAACAACAGTTCCCTCTAATATTGATGCTTAGTTTTATCATCGTGGCTCTCAGTATTGTTAAAGATGTCGTTTATGAAAAGGAAAGAAAACTCAAGGTAAGTACGTTTTTGGTGTCCACTGACTGCTTAGTTTTATCATCGTGGCTCTCAGTATTGTTAAAGATGTTGTTTATGAAAAGGAAAGAAAACTCAAGGTTAGTATGTTGTTGGTGTCCATGTGGCATACATTTTTATTGTACACTAGTTAGTCTCACTAGATTTTCATATATTATACACCGGAGCTTCTCTAATTACTTGGGGGGGGGGGGGATGGCCGAATGGTCAGCACATGCATGCTGTATCATGAGGCATGTCATTGAGTTAACTGGCGTGGTTTCGAATCCCCAGTTGTACGTGATAAGCCGTAGGGTCGTCTGTCCAACCTTGTGGGTTTTCTCCGTGTCCTCCGGTTTCCTCCCACTGCTAAAGACACCTACGTGCAAACTAATCATAGAAATAAAATTGAACCATTTGTTAGTCCCGAAATGACCTAGTTTGTGTCGAGTGGATGTTAAACCCTCTCTCACACTCACTCTCTCTCTCTCCCCCCCCCCCCCCCCCCCCCCGGATGAATGGTTAGCGTGTGCTCGTTGTATCATAAGATCTGTCATTGAGTCAACTGATAAGGTTCCGATTCGATACCCTGGTTGTACCTGACAAGGAGTAGGGTTGCCTGTCCAGCCTCATGGGTTTCCTCGGACTGCTAAAGACCCTCTCCCCCCTCTCTCTCTCTCTCTCTCTCTCTCTCATTATTAACATGAATGTTTTGTTTTTATTTCAGGAATCTATGAAGATGATGGGATTAAGTAGTTGGTTACATTGGACAGCGTGGTTTATAAAATATTTTATGTTCACTCTCATCACCGTTTCTCTAATGACGCTGTTCTTCAGTATTAAAGTTAATTTAGATATTGGTAAAGGTTCAGGAAGTGTTATCAGTAACTCCGATCCATCTATTATATTTATATTTTTATTGGTTTATTCCGTGTCCAGTATTGCGTTCTGTTTTGCTGTCAGCGTTTTCTTTTCGAAAGGTAAGTTTATCATCAGATTTGTATTAGACTTATATCTTCCATTCACCGCTGGGGGTTGGGTGGCCAAATGGTGAAACGCATCAGTGATTGATCATTAGGTCTGTCATTGATTCAAGTGGTGTAGTTTCATTTTCCCTGCTTGTACGTGACAAGGAGTAGGGTTGCCTGTCTCCAATCTTGTAGGTTTTCTCTGGGTCTCTCCTTTTGCTTCCCATGCTGAAGACCACTTTGCGCAAGTGAATTATTGAAATAAAAATGAACCATATAGGTTATTCCTGAAATGATCCAATTTGTGTCGAGTGGATGTTACACCCCATTTTCTCGCTATTCAGATGTCATCCCTCTCTGTGATTGTAGCAGCCTAATGAATATTCAGTGCTGATTAGTGTGATAATATGCATAACATATAGAAGAACAAGGATAAAGACCACTAATTGTGAGAGAGAGTGAGAAATGGAATGTAATGTCCACTCGACACAAACTAGGTCATATGGTTTAATTTTATTTCAATAATTCGCTTGTGCGTAGGGGTCTTTAGCAGTGGGAGGAAACCGGAGGACCCGGAGAAAACCCACGAGGTTGGACAAGCGACCCTACTACTTGTCACGCACAACTGGGGATTCAAAACCACCCCAGTTGACTCAATGACAGCCCTTATGAAAGCGCGCACGCGTTTCACCATTCGGCCATTCAACCCCCCACCACTAATTGTATTTTAAATTGTATAGTATTTGAAATGTTACTTTTCTGCACATTGGTTTAAATTTGACTTTTTATATTTTCAGCGAATTCTGGAGCTGCGGCTGGTGGCATTTTATTCTTTATCTCGTACATTCCATATTTTTTTTTACAATCACGGTATGAAATGATGAGTTGGGGTGAGAAGATAGCGGCCTGTTTAGATTTTAATACAGCTATGGCGTTCGGTGCACAAGTAATCGGAATGTTTGAAGGAACAGGTCTGTTAATGATTTATTTTTTCTACTGATAATCTCTCATGAACTCATTCCTATCGTGGTGAGTTTGGCACTAGTGCACTATCCAAGATGTCCTGAGTTAGATCCTGGGCCCTTATTCACGAAAACTTAAACTAAGATAAAATCGAAATTTTAAGAAATACTGCAATTCGATTGGCTGACCAGTAAAATCAGTTTGCATATATCCAATGAAGCTGCAGTATTTCTTAAAATTTCAATTTTATCTTAGTTTAAGTTTTCGTGAATAAGGGCCCAGGTGTTAGCTGAAACAGTTCATTATGATTTCCTCTCGTTAGTAGTGCCGGTTGAATGTGAAATACTGTAAGCTTGAATAAATAAAATGCTTTTATGCACAGTTACTTTAGAACAAATTACCTTATTTTATTCGGAAATCACATTCTATTATAACATTCAAATCACATTTGAAAACTCATTTATTCAAACACGTTTTTACTGATTTTACACATTTGACTGTTTTACGTGTAGTTAAATTTTTTATATCATTTTTACACTGTCTTTTCTTTGACTGTTTTAAGGGAAATGTTTTTTTGTTATTTTTTATAACTTTTCTTTTTATCATTAATTGTATTCAGCACATATTATTATTATTATTATTATTAAAATAATAATACTTTTCTGCACCAACAAGGCTTATGAAGACGAGCATACACCATGCCGTGTGCTTTGAGGGAACTTTTAGGCGCTTTTCCTTTCTAAGTCTTCCATCCTGCCACAATGATTTTCCAACATGGTTTCCCCTTGTCAGTGATGCAGGAAGGAAGGCCTGACAAGGACAGCTGTCTAGTCGCTCGGATGGGATGAAATACCGAGGCCCTGTATATACATTGGCATGCACGTAAAAAATCCCTTTGCAGTTGGAATTCGATATAAGAGTAGGCCATAGCACACTGTATGGCGTATGCCCGTCTTCTTTAGCCCAGTTCGGAGCAGAACAATAGGACGTTTAACCCCATTTCATCCCAGCTTAACGTTGTGCAGTGCCTTGAAATGCATTAAGGCGTTTGGATTCAACATGTACTTGTTTGTGTACCGGAAAAAGACCTGGCCCAGTTTCACAAAACATTTGCAGATTCAAAATTATCCGCCTTATTTTAACTATTTCTGCTGTCTGTTTTTACAGGAAGTGGTGTACAGTGGAGTAATATATACGAAGGTGTGTCTGTTGATGATGATTTTACGTTATTACATGTATTGATAATGTTGTTGATTGATTCCGTGATATACGGTTTTATTACATGGTATGTTGAATCCGTATTCCCTGGGGATTATGGTGTACCAGAACCATGGTATTTCCCTTTTAAGGTAAGTTCGCGATTTTAACTCGTAAATAAACTCTTCTTCGGTGGACGAAAAACCGTGGTCCTGTGTACACATTGGAGTGCACGTAAATGATCCCATGGCAGTTGGAATTCAATATAAGAGCACACTGTATGGCGTATGCCCATCTTCATTAGCCCAGTTTAGGAGCAGAACAGTAGGACGTTAAACCCCATTTCATTTCGTTTCATTTCATTTTAAATAAACTCTTCTTCGGTACCAATTCGTTTATGGTAAGTTCACCCATAAATAAACTCTGCTTCGGTACCCATTTACTTGTTTCTTTTTATGGTAAGGTCATTAGCTCATCTCCAACCAGGGGGCTTGGATGGCCGAATGGTTAGAATATGCACGTTGTATCATAAGGTCTGTCATTGAGTCAACTGGCATGGTTTCAATTCCCCGGGTGTATGTGACAAGGAGTAGGGTCGTCTATCCAACCTTGTGGGTTTCTCTGGGATACTTCGGTTTCATCCTACTACTAATTTATAAAGACCCCTACGCACAAGCGAATTATTAAAATAAAATTGAACCATGTTTTAGTCCTGAAATGACCTACTTTGTGTTGAGTAAACCCCATTTCTCTCTCTCGTCTCCAACCATCGTGTACTTGTTTCATTTTAGAATAAGTTAATTTGTTGTTCTTCAGCCCCCAGGTTGGTTGGTTAATCTGGACACAAGTACAAATTACATGATTTGGGGTGATTTTAAATGATTTTACAAATTTTGATTTGATATTGAATGAATTTGAAAGAAATTAGTGCTAAATACACAAAATAAAATGATATCCAGGCTACAGTGTAGCCTAATTGGGAACGCTGATATTTCAGGTGGTTTATGGCTTCTGTCATCTTCATATTTATTCAAGAATACGATATTTTATTACAGAAATCCTATTGGTGTGGATACAGTATTTCAGATGATAGTGTTGATGATAAATCATTGAATGTGGGACAAAATCCGGAATTCTTCGAGAAAGATCCCGTTGGTTTAAAACCAGGAATACAAATCAGAAATTTAAGAAAGGTAAAGTTTGTTAATTCAAAGATAAAGGTGATATATTTCTGAGTGAAAGCTATCAAAGTTGTTGTTCTATTTTACAACCAACCTCGTGAGTTTTCTCCGGGGCCTCCGGTTTCCTCCCACTGCTAAAGACACCTACGCGCAAGCAAATTATTGAAATAAAATTAAACCATATGTTTGTCCCGAAATGACCTAATTAGTGTCGAGTGGACATTAAACCATCTCTTGTCTCTCTCTCTTTCTCTCCATTTTACAACAGGCAGACCATCACCATTCCATTTTGAGTGAAGCCTGTATTACTACAGGCCCGGGAGCCGGGACTGTATAACGCAGTGGACACTGATGGCTGGCCCCTGGATCCATTCACTTGATTTCTTTAGATTATTACTATTTTATAGTAGAGGATCCACCTTGAAAATTCCCTTCTTTAAATAATAGATCACCATCCCCAACCTCGCGTCCCCCACCTCCTCCGCCTCATCTAGTCTGACCGATGTCATCATCCATCAATATGCATATTAATACCATTTCTCTTTAAGACTTTTGGAAAAGGAGGGAAAAAGAATGTTGCTGTAGCTGGAATGTCGTTGGATATGTATGAAGGTCAAATAACTGCCTTATTAGGTCATAATGGAGCTGGAAAAACAACGACCATGTCCATGTTGACGGGTAATTAACATATTACTGTAACAATATCATTGGTCACGCTAGCTTGGTTTCTACTTGTCAGTGGTGCAGAGCAGAACAGTAGGACATTAAACCCCATTTCATTTCATTTCTCAATTGTGCTAGATGGAGGACCTTGTAAGGGAACAACACCTTGTGGGTTGGATAGGGCAAAAAAATGAGGGGCGTTGTGCATGTAAAAGAAACCTTGACAGGAGTAATTGAATTAAGAATAGACAGAAACGCAGCTGCCTGGTCCAGATTCCCCTCATAGCAAACTTTATGGTATATAACTGTCTTCATAAGCCCAGTTGGTGCAGAAAGTAAACCCCATTTTATTTCATTTTAATCCTCTTAGTTTTTTTATTGAGTGTTTTATTGAATAATTTTGTTTAATGAATAATGTTGTTTTATTTAATAATGTTGTTTAATGAATAATGTTGGTTTATTGAATAATGTTTTAATGAATAATGTTTTATTGAATAATGTTGTTTTATTGAATAATGTTGTTTTATTGAATAAGGTTGTTTTATTGAATAAGGTTGTTGTTTTATTGAATAAGGGTGTTTTATTGAATAATGTTTTAATGAATAATGTTGTTTTATTGAATAAGGTTGTTTTATTGAATAATGTTTTATTGAATAATGATTTATTGAATAATGATTTATTGAATAATGTTTTATTGAATACTGTTTTAATGAATGTTGTTTTAATGAATAATGTTGTTTTATTGAATAATGTTTTAATGAATAA